GGGGGGAACTCCGCATATGAAAGGGGTGGGGATGCTCGTCGGAAATTTTGAATTAAACCCCTAAAGTAGACCCATCTAGGTGTGGCCCAAGCTTTTTTTTTGACCCCTAAAAGAGACCATGTTAAAACACAGACAATATATATCTTTTTATATTTTTTCACGTGCAACCCTAAACGGGACCTTCACGGCCAAATATGATGGCGTTTTGCCCAGAACACCCTAAGTGAGATCAAAATCCGCAATTTACACCCCTAAGCGAGACGACGAGCATCCCTTTTCGCGTTTCGTATGCGGAGTCCCCCACCCCCGGAAAATGGAGACAAATTTTGCATCGAAAGTTTAAGGGGATCTTGTGCTGGAAGGCTCGCCACCTACAGAAAAAATCTCTACTACTACAATACTGTAAACAATTTTTACCATTTCAAATTGCTTCTTAATGAACAGATCTTGTTTCATAAAATTTGTCAGGCTGTAACCTTTGAAAATGATAGCAGCATACTCTCAGGCTATCATGAAAAGCAATGGGGTGATATATATCAGTTGTTAAGTAACCAGGAAAGATTTTAATTTCCGGCAATAATGTTTATTCTAGTCATGCACACATGGCAAAAATGACTTTTTCCCCTTTATCCTCCGATAGACTTACTCCCCTCATTAGAACCAATATCAACTTTCTTCATGTCATCTGTTTTCTCCCAACTTCTAACTGCTTAAAATCATGCGAAACAATCAGTGTCCGGAATAACAAGAAAAGTCGTGGAAAGTTGGTTTTAGGCCCGTTGGATAAAACCTTTACTCGAGAACTGTCGAGGACATCGCGTGCAACAGGAAAACAGACGTTGTCTAATCTGCACTAGCCTGCTACAATAAGTGAATAATTATTTCATGGCAACATAACTGTAGAACACTTTTTAAGTAAGGAATTTGACCTTTGCAGACAGCCAGATATCATGAGATATCTACCGCGTATTTTGCTCAGAGCAGGAAATACAAGAAAGTATCTGAAGTATTTTTCTTGCGCGCGCTATTTGAGGAAGTTTACCGCTTGATATCAACTAGTTGGCATGAATCAATGGTGATTATAAAACGTCTTTAACATATCAGAAATACCATTTTAAAGTCTACAGGTTTTCCTTACTTTTGTATGGTTCTTCAATGATATTGAAGATCTGCGTCAAAATCGTTCCTACAGTAAGTGAAAACGACGTTGCTCTCTCCTGCAGGTCATGGACTCCTGACAGAACAAACTACGAATTTTTTCCGAAAAGAATGATGCTGGATATTGTGAAAGTTCCCTTTTAAAGGTTCCTTAGTTGATATTTCACACAAGCATCCCTTGGTGGTCAACTTCCAAGGTTGAAGAGTGTGTGTAATCTACTAAAAAAGGAACAACGTTATTTTCTTTCTTTAGCATTTGTTAAAAACTGTTTAAAGAAAGTTTTTAAAGTAATCTACTCCATAGGCTATTTATAATTGTTCTTCATGATTTAAATTCCGACTTTAAGTACGGAGATTTTTTTGCAGCATAAGCTGCATGTTTGGGGGTAAAATTAGCTTCTCAAGCCAGTCAGGTAACAAATTCAGGATGTATCTCTGATGATTATTATCAAACAAATCGGATTTGATCGATACCATGATCAGTTAGTGTATAGAATATGAACACAAGGTTAAATCGGGCTTTTACTAGAAAGGATTAACAGTTAATACGAACATTGTGGGGCCGGCCTGTCCTCCCAGGCCAGACTTCCTTTTGGCTCTTTTGACGCAACCCTCGGCTACTCATCGAGCCAAGATGAGCCTGGTCTCAGTGACTGTTCGCCTTGGAAAGACCTGAGGTGTACATGTCCACTTTGGCTCCCATTCCGCTTAACCCTTTAAACCCTAATATCAAAATTCAAATTCTCATTTGTTGTCCCTATATGTTTTCAATGGAAGCAGTGGGTAGAATTTGTTGAAGTATCAATTAGATTCATCTTGTGTGATCAGGCCCTCAATTCTCATAACCACTGTGTTTTATAAAGCAGTGATATTACAAGGAGAAATTTGACGCTGATCACTCTTAGGGGTTAAAGGGTTGTTAGAGAATCCAAAGAAAATAATTGAAAAATGGCTGGGATCTACTTTAAAAATTGTCCGTTTTAGGGAGCCTTCTGTACGAATATCAAACAGTGTTGTGATTAGGTGATTTTGAAGAATATTTTTCTTATCTTTAAAGGTACGCTTTCGATTGGCTGAGTGGGTCAAGGTTAGTCAGGAATTTGTTTGCAAAAGTGTCCTTTAGATTTTACTCGACGTGCTTATGCTTAGCTCGTGAATTTATTTTCCATTTTTGGAATATTTTTGCCTTGGCCTTGCCTGAAGTGAGATTTACATACTTTGGCTGGTCGTGCTTGAGACATAAAAGCTGACTTTAGGTTGTCAGTCCCGTTGAAGTTCCTGTTTGGGGTTTGCAGCCAGCGCTTTATTCCAAAACAATACCCACAGGGAGCGCGTGTCAGTCAATCCAATGCAGACATCAAACATGTCTACATTTGGGCTATTTAATTAGTCTCCATTCAACCCTCTCGGTAAAAGAATTTGGCAGAATAAAGAGGTGAAAACAAATGTGTTAATCAAGACTCGTCGAGTCTAAGACTTTTTCCCTGCAGTAGCCATATTCTCCACATTCCTGTACGTCCCCTTCATGTGGTACAAAACTGAGACATTTTATCACTGGCAACCAATTCCTGTTTCTTGGCATATTATCATCATTTAGTACCGACATTGTTGCGATAGCGTTTTTTGTGAAATTTCTACGACTAACGAACAACGCTTGCTGGGCTCCGGATACTGTCGATATGTCATTAAGTGTCTATAGAGTGTCTGGGGAAAGAGAGTCAAAGAAGAGCGCTGAAGAAAGGCTAGAAGTCAGAGAAGATAACATTGTACGCTTTTAAAGTAATTCCCTGAGATTTTTTTGAGACCCCTTCCCTGGAGTTGAGGTTAAGCACCCTGTTTTAGGGGTTCTTGGGTTAATCCCCAGCTGTGGTTTCCGACTTTGTATCGAGTTCTGCGGGTACAAGATAAGAAAAGCCTCAAAGAAAAGTCGTTAAGGCTATAAAAGTGCTGATTTTCTAACCTCGGCTTCATTGGTAATGGAAGGATACAAGTCAAGTGACGCCGTTTATATACTGTTATATAAAACCCTCTAGGTAGAATAAACAAGAAACCAGTCTCAAATTTGTAGAAGATAAGAACAGCCTCAGTGAAAGGTAATTATATGACCCTTTCACAGAAATTTTTGGCAAATTTTCCGGTCTCTTTCTAAAATGCTGAAAAACAAAAACCTCAAGGCTCAAGCCAAAGAGGTTTCATTTGAATGGTCACACCATAGGATTTCATCCACAGACTCAAAAGTTAGAAATACGTACTAAATAAATAGTACCATGTGAAAGTACTGCTGAAGAGGTTTCATTTGAATGGTCACACCATAGGATTTCATCCACAGACTCAAAAGTTAGAATCACAGTTACAGGACTTCATCATTCTCATCATTCATTCATTCATTCATCACGTTCTGTGAACGAAAGGGTTAAGGTTATAAGCAACGGTGACACATCCCTGGCATAAGTATTGGGAGGAAATAAGCTGACGCCTTTTTATACAGGAACCAACGCACAAATAACGCACAGAAATAACGGATAGTGCTGACAACGCTTCAAGAATAAAACCTTTTTACTCAGTTGATACTCTATGGCATGGTAAGTCGCGTTCTTTCGCTCGGACAACCAATAATCATACTCCATGATCTCTGCTGGTGAAACTCAAATCTATATATTCGTATAAATTGAACACTGACATCGGTCGCATTATGCGCCTTCGCAATCAACAGACCAAAACCGGTGTCCTAAATAAAGCTTTGTTTATCAATTTCCTTAGTTCATTTGACTCATTTACAAACCACCAAAAGTCAACATCATTAGTATTCCATTATCTGATAATACCAATTAGCTCGTTTGAAGCCGTCAATGTGGAATCTCGAAAAATCCTTTTAGAAAAAAACAAGAGTACTCAATAGATCATCAGACAAAACTTTCACGAGCGCACAATAGAAATCACTTACACCAATAGATCTTTTAACCTGAGTGGCCCATTTCAATTAAAAATGAGAACCGTGTCACAAAATCCCCCCAATTATGGATTGATATAAGGTCCTATTATTCATTCCTACCTCCAAAAAGCCCGAAAACAATAATGCTTTTTCATGCGTTTCAATTAAGAAAGAGGCTGCTGTTTCGAACTTTCTTGCGGCATTTGTTTAATAGTTGACCCTGAGATACAGGAAGATGAAATTTGTTTTGGCTTCGTCTGGTTCTAAGTTTGGAACAAAATCTTTTATACACACAGTAACTTCCTTCTGATATTACTTCTGGCATATCGCAAATATTTGGTAATACCTTGAACACATGAGAACCATTAAAATTTGACCTTTCGCTTAAAGGTACATCTCAAATCATCACAAGCGGCATTCAGCGATTCAATGAGTGATTTGCTCGTAGTAGAAGTAGGTTAAACACACACCGGGGTAATACTTGTTCTGGTAAATTGCTTTTTTGTTCGCAACTAAATGTCTCATTATCTACACAGATGGTTATTTAAACACGCCTGGACTGCTTTGCGGAGCTTTCACAAACACAAGAGATTGGACCGACCTCTTTAATATAACCAAAACGAATCCAAAATCAGTTTTTAACAACTTTTATATCTAATTTGCAAATGACAAGGCAGGAGAAAAAATCATATAAAATTCAAAGCCTGTCTTTGCTAATAGAGTTAATTCTCAAGGAGTGTTTTTTCGTGCCTTCTTTGATGGAAAATTCAAACCGTAGAAGGCTACATATATTTTTGCATCTGCGATTCATTTTTAGATCTCTTGATAATATAGATAGGATTTAAGCTGTGAACAATTAACACTCGTTCCATGCACTCAGCTGACTCCTCTACTTAGGCGTTCCCTTTTTCTATAACCCATTAACAATCTTTTTAATTTCAGCCCCTGCTCTGATAAGGTGCGAAGCGCAATCGAAATGTCCTCCGCGCACGGCGAAATCCAGCGCGGAACAGCCTTGAGAGTCAACTACATCTACTTCGGCACCACTGTCGATTAACAACTCAACGCATTCATAGCTTCCCTCAGCTGCTGCATAATGTAAGGCTGTTAGTCCCGAAGGGCTCTGGTGATTTATATCAATTTCACCTTTAAGCATAATCTTTGTTAGTTCTGCAACGTCGTTATCCGCGACGGCAGCGAACAAGACAACCTCAGGGGCGAAAGACACGCTCCTTGTACGCTTCATGGCTCCTTCAGCCGGTATGTCCGAAATTATCGTCTTGCAATTGCTACGGGACGACTTCCTCGGACAGTACATTTTTTCAAGTTCTTTGCAGTCTGGTAAAGAATAAGCTCTTCTTAGTTCCCATAAGTCAGCTGCGTTTGGCGGCTTGTTTATTTTATGCGTTAGACTGGCCACAGAGTATTTCCTCTGCTTCACATGACCGTATCGTTCATCCTTTTTTCTCTCCAAGGAAGGCACGAAACCGCAGAATGATTGCCGATGATGATACGCGTTCATGGCTTGCTAACAGCTTGATCGACAAAGTAAATATCACACAAAACGTGCTGCAGAAAAATCGAAACCGGTCAAATGAGGTTCTTTGACCGATATGCTCTTGCCACTTGAAAGCGAACTTCGTTGATGACAGAGGTCCTTGAGAAAAGCAGACAAGCCTCAAGAGAAGTTCTCAGGTCAGTTTAGATGCAAAAATGCAGCAGGTCTTCAGTTATCGGATCGCTTTAAGCTACCAGTCAATGAAAACAAAGGACCATCAAATTGCACCTATTTTGAGATGGTCAATCCTATTGACATTTTGTCAACCGCAGTATTTACTTGCTAAATGATTAAGTAACGTAAGTGACGCGTTCAGTACGTGCGGTCCCATCCGCGCGATCCACGTGGTTAAGTAACTGAAAATTAATTTTGTGGCTGCAACCATCGAAGTTCTCCTTTTACTACAGAAAAGATGGAACATTCGTTACTAAAAGTAAACAACGACGGAATACAAGGGGGGATGTCTGATAGCAGTTAACTTAATTAGCAATTATTGGATGAGGCTGACTCCTGAATCCGGGAAATTTTTATCTTGTGGTATCCGGAATCCGGGAAATTTTTCTTGTCGAATCCGGTATCCTGGGCTTTGGAATCCGGAATCCAGCTCAATTAATGGGCCATAAACACGATACCTGCAATCCAGAATCCATAACGTGGAATCCGGAATCCCCGGTTTGGAATCCAGAATCCAAGACTGTCCTGCTTGGATTCAGTCGATGCAGATCGAGGAGGGTGCTATCGCTATTAAACACACTCCGAGATCTGAATAATTCTTCATATCATACGAAAGCCGAATCCAATAATTATTTCCTTATTCATTGAAATATTTCCTGATTAAAGACGTGCTTACCTCGATCGAAGTTATTTCCGTCTTCATAACATTTGCCGTTTCCTTGACAGTTTCAAGTTGTTAAATATTAAGGGATAATTATTCTCACTAGCAGTTTTTATGGGCGTTGAGTAGTATTTTTGCTGTTTTTTTAACTGTTTTTAGGCAGTAGTCTCAAAACGTGTGAAATCTTTCGCAATTTCCTCTGACTTTTGCCAAAACAGCTGCGCTACCACGCCTTCTACTGTAAGAGTCTCTTTTCTGTCAATAACTGCACAACTGACGTCCATTCTACTGATTTCGACAAAAGTCTTCCGAATTTGGTAAACGATAGCCTCCTGGTTATGAAGAATTAAGGGGATTTGAGCCAATCAGAAACAGAGAATTATTCGCCCTTATTCGAGCCATGAAATTATGTACACCTGTGCAGTTGAAATCCGATTTCTCGAACTTCGCTTTCTGGAACATCTCGATAACTTTACTTTCCCCAGTTTCAACACTGAGACTTGAGCCCAGATTTTTCAACAGTAATTTCGAAGCAATGTCCTCTTCTCTCAGAGGTTTAGGCTAAGGCTATGTTCACTCTGTCCCGGTTAGCCTTTCGTGGCCCCACGATAGTGTGAACACCTATCCGATAAGTAAGTCTCCATTTTAGAGATCGGAGCAGCGTCACAACTATTGCGTGTATGAACAGAGGCCCTATCATCGCCCCATGCAACGGAATCCAGGACAGTCTTGGATTCTGGATTCCACGCTGTCGATTCCGGATTCCAGGTACTGGATTCCAGTATTTGTCAGTAGAACTTTCCGGATTCCTTGAGCTGTACTCCGGATTCCAAAACCCAGGATTCCTGATTGTATAAACAAAAAGTTCCCAGATTCCCTTACTTAGGGCGACCTTTCGTCCCTTTCGTGTGAATGCAGCCTGAAACTTAACACCAGTCCTCTTTTCAGTGAGGCCTTCTCTCCATACCGGACTGAACTCCCGGATGGACAATCAAATGGTTCGCCCCATTCATTTTGAAAGCTTTTGAAAACATATTGGCTGTGATTGAAAGCGAACATCTTTTGTTTGTATAACGTTGCATCGAACATCTTTTAATGCACATAACATGGATGTATTCAGTATGAAAGGGATGTATGTACACATGACGTTAATGCAATGATGCTTCCATATTTTGCCGTAAAAACGCGCCATACTTAACACTCTGATCTAACGGCAATGTAATGGTATGTCGGTTTTTTATGAGGAATAAGTTGAATGCTACTAAACACTCTCAAGAACAATATCTTATTTTCTTCGAACCTGTTTAAGAGCATAATTAACATAACTTGGAAAAATACAGGTTCTTATTATTATACTCGCGGCTGTATACTGTAAAATTATCACGGGAAACAAACATTGAGGTCTCATTGCCGACTTTTCAAGTTCATATCCGAAGATCCATGTGCATTTTAGTGATTGATAAGGCTATAATTCGTATTATCACACACTACAAGCATGGAGGTTTGTTTACAGTTTGTTATCTTATCGGCTGATTAATCATGGACTAGTTGTTTGGTTCTTGAGCATATTTTGTGAAAACTATTCCTAAGTGCAGAGTTTCCAAACAAAGGGGATCAGTCATATTGTGAGGTAAAGGTTAAAAAAAATAAAATCTCTAAACCCGCTGTAAATAAAACTGTTTGAACCATTTCAATAGCAAAACCAGCGTTAGCACTGTTGACGGTAAACACCTCGCTATCAATCTTAAACTTTGCTAGTTTAGGGTAGTAATCATTCCAAAAGGCCATCCGGCGAGGATTAAATGCTGTTTCCAATCTCGGATTAACGTCAATTCGCAAATACGATCGGCGACTTGAGTTGTACCCCTCCCAGGTAACGCCGCTAACTGGTTGTGGCGTGGGCTCACCAAACCTGGCAAAGTTGGTGTAGAGTTTCATGATAAATAAACTGACGTTTCTATCAGCTGTGTCATACATTGAAGAAAGAGGCGGTAGAAGTGGAATACCAAAATCAAATGGCGCGTTATCAAAATGAATCACTCCCATCCACTCTGGAGAGAGACTGGCGTTTGATGGCCGTCGTGCGAACTCGTACATGTACACAGGAGCCACTTCGCTGTGAATATCGGCTACCTCGTGACTAGGTGCGAAGAAAAAGTAATCGCTAAGCAGATCTATAAGCTGGCTTCTCAGTGCGTACTGATCGTTATTGTCTGGCCGAGGGGTGTACATGAACTCCAAAGCATCCGAGATGAGGTCTGCTACTTTTCTGGAGAATGACCACAAACGGCATTTCTTTTAATTATGGTTTAAAATAGAGGCTTAATACAATGTCGTAAAATCACAGGCTAGGCCGAGCATCCGAACTATTCGAGGCATAGTGATGTCACGCGCGACATGTGATCAGGGGCACCCAACGACAATTTTCGGAAAAATATCTGTTCGGAAGACGATTTGAGATCTAGAATTTTCGGAACATTTGTTGTAAAATTTCTTACTTGCCTGCTTCTCCTAGGATTTTCGAACATCTAAAATATGGTATAATTGCCTATTTTTAACAGATTTTTACCCTAAAAAGGTCATCTAGAATTTTCGGGAGCCTTTTTTCTGGCTGAAATTTTCGAAAAGGTAAGTTTCGATCTCTATAATTTTCGGATCAGTAGACTTTCAGCTAGGAAATCCGAATAGATGAAAAATTTTTAGGGGATAAAAATATGCCTATATCTACCGTTTAAATACCAAAATACGTTTAACAATGCTATGTTTTAGGGCTCCTGGTTTTAGTGGTTTGGAACTATATTCTCGTTGGGTGCCCCTGATGTGATGGCATACATTTACTGCTCTCGGCTTGATTTGAGTGATCAGGAGAAATGTTCAGTAAAACGCAGACTTTTGCACCTTTTGATCCCAACTGTTGATATAATGTAAGAAAAATAAATAAAGATAACTTACCGCATGTTTTTAGTTGCGTGTTCTTCGTTATTGTGACGTTTTCGGGGGTGTCAGTTTCAAGAATTAATATGTCACCAAAAACATACGATAAGTTATCTTTATTCATTTTTCTTTCATTAAATCAACATTTTGGATCAAAAGGTGCAAAGTTCTGTGTTTGATAAGCATTTCTACCGATCACTTGAATCAAGGCGAGAGCGGGAGTTATGAAATACAGTAAATGTATGGGATCGCATGTTTCGCGTGACCTAACGATGGTCGGCCTGTGGTAAAATCAAAACTAATATGCATTGCTTATCATGTCATTACCTTCCGCAAATGTGAACCAATCATTGATTATCTGAGTTTCACAGGAAAGAGGTTATGCGTTAACATTGCTTATTTCTTCACGCCTTTCTCTAGGCCAGCACGTCAATTCGGTGATGGACTACATGTACGTGACGTGACTCATCAATCTAGACGCGCGGCTGAACATTGACATGTAGGATATGGACAATGTCATTATTTAAAGAATGGTACATCTAATGCATTAGGCTGCCACATCACAAAGAAAACATCCTCACCTTTTATTCCTACCTTCAACAAACCCTGATAAGGCGTCTTTGAACAATGATCGGTTGACTCCGTTTTCCACCCCAGCCGTCCCTACAAGACTTCTGATAGAAGTTGCCCCCTCGTGACTGTTAAAGCTTATCATTAAAGGCACCTTCTTGAATTTCCTTTTCTTCCGCAGATTCCAGGGTGTATCAGTGAGGAAATGCCCGTCCACAACTGCTGACCAGCGATAGAAATCATGGGAAGGGGAAATGAAGATATCGCCAGCCGCTTTCTGTATGTCCATGGCCTTTACTTTGCGAATGCATTCCACCATGGCGTGGTGATCACTGGATGTACAATGCAACTTTTGCGCCAACTCTTTCGCGAAACGAATGCCATATGAACTTGGCTGAATCGCCCAGGGGCACAGATCTACTCCGCTCTCTGCAATGGCTTGGTGGAAGAGGTCCTTAGACAGAGGTGACATAATATGGAAGTTAACACTTGACCCACCAGCGCTGTCGCCTAAAAGAGTTATCTTGTTAGGGTCCCCACCGAAGTTTTCAATGTTTTCCTTGACCCATTTGAGTGCTGCCACCTGATCCAGTAATCCGAGATTTCCGGGAGCAGGGGAACCTTCGGTGGTGAAAAACCCAAATGGACCGAGACGATATTGGATCACCACAACTACAACGCCATGTAGTGCCAAAATATCGCTAGGAAATGCAACAGAATGACCCCCTGTATAAGCCCCACCGTGAATATAGATAATCACGGGTAAACTTAGGCTAACGTTGGGAGTGTAGACGTCGAGAAACAGGCAGTCCTCGCTATAGGTTATATTGTACCCGTAGCGATCAAAGTAAAAAGCGAATCTTTGAGGCTGCATACAAGCACTCCCATGTTTTTTAGCCTGTCGTATTTTCGGTTTCCAGCCTTCAAGAGGTTGTGGTTTTCTCAGTCTGTTACCCTCAGTCGGCGGAGCGGCGAATGGAACACCCAGAAACTTGTCAACCGAGTGGAACCGTAGGTGAATAGGAAGACTCGGATAAGAAGCTGTAAAGCCTTCGAGTTTTCCGTACTTCGTTGTAGCGATTACTGAATGAGCCAACGGTAAAAATGAACATAACACGATAAATGGCGCTGCGAGGAGCATCATGGACATAAAGATTCCAAGGAATAAACTGATTCAGCAAAACTGAACGTCACTAAGCTGAAAGTCGGCGATCTATATCTGGATCGATTCAGCCGCTTAAAATAAAACGCTAGGCTCAGATTTATCCGGGGGAGTGAGTACTCAATACAGTAAGTATACGGGGAGGGTCGTCCTACTCTTACTTATCCTTTATAACCACCTTTGGCATAAAAGGTACCCCTTCCTTACACCTCCCATTGACAAACTGAATGATTCCCCTAAATGATTCCCCTTTTTACACGTCCCTACCTTTAAAACACTACATTTCTTTTCTAAAATGAATTGAGTATATGACTGATGCATCAAGTATTTTCGAAATGTTCTATTGTAGTTTTAAAAGGCCTTCCCTGCTCTTTATATGCTTCAACTCCTGACCGATAACTGCCTGCCCTTTTATATTATCCTGAACCGTGAAAAAAGAAATCTGAACCCTGAAAAATGTAACCAATTCCTGTGTAGTTTCCCCTTACAGACTTCCCCCCCCCCCCGCCCCAAACCCTTATCATGCAGATTCTATGACAGTCGAATAACAATGAATAACGGAAGTGTATTCAGTCACGCTATTTTTCAGCCCTTACTAAACGTGTGGAATAATATAAGGAAAAGGCAAAAAATTCAAAGCGGCACAGACTTCCAAAAATAGAAAATGCAGATTCAGATTGCATTTATGTCAACCTAAAAAACGGCCTAATTTGTCTAATTAATTAAACCCCATTTACACGCGCTAAAAAAATGGACACGGCAAGCCAAATTTTCGGCACCGTGCTGACGATTTTGAGGCACGGCACTCCCAATTTTCGACGTGTAAACCTACTGGCCCCAAATGTAATGTGGCACCAGTGCTCAAAATTTTAGGGGTGCCGAGACTACCTCTCGGAGGTAGTCTCGGCACGGGTAAACGAGGCACGGTGCCAAAAATTTGGCATGCCGTGCCGATTTTCTTAGCGCCTGCTAGCTGTAAATGGGGTTTTAGTCTCGTTATGTGTATGTTTACGGTGGTGTGATTTACGAATCTAAAGAAACAATGAATTTTTTTCATAAAGAATAAAGATAAGCGAGATAAAATAAGTGTTAAACAAAATTTTATTTAATAATTATTCGTTCACAATATTTCTTCGTTAGGGACTGGCTAATTCTCAAATCACCAGCTAGCGTTGACCAAATATGAATAGCCTGCAAAGCAGGCGTATTTTGCTGTGCGATCCATTTGGACTTTCGACTGACCGAGAGTTGGGGCGAGCCAAAAAATGATTCCAAGGGAGAGGTTGACGCGTACCAGGCTAAAATATAGAAGGTGTTTGCCGCAACGCTACAAATATCGACAGAAAAAAGGGACGGCAGAAGGCACAGTCCTCCAGCTGTTTTGATAGAGCTGGAGAAGATGGCGGAACATTTCACACGTTTTGCAAAGAAGAAATTAAATAGCAAGCTACTGGTTAGAAACATAACAAGAATAACGCCAAAAATACCACCACCACTCGACAGATGACAAATGTGGATCTTTGTGGAATATCTTCCAGACTTGGTGCGTCCCTAAATTTTCCGAGAAACATGCAAATCAAGGTGGGTTCTTTACATCTATCGGAGCAAGCATGTTTTGAAGTCTGAAATATTTTGAATGAAAAAAAAAATGTCAGATTCGGTTTTATATGATATGGTGAATTAGGCATATCTCGAGGCGTGTGGAACAAAATTCTCTGCTTCGATTTGCTTATTTTTCATATCAATACGTCGCTAAGCGAAAGATTGAGAATTATCACAGGCGAGCCAATCACGACTTGCCAAAGCCGAAGGCTGAAGAAAAGAATTGACCTGCGAGACACCAACAAATGACGATAATTTGTGATAATGGGGTCAATAGCCATCGGGTTTAATAATTTTTTATCATTCTACATGCAATCGAATCTCTCCTCGCAACCTCTTCAGTAAGCTATTTAGAAAGGAACAGCTTTACGGTCAGCACCAGCATCATGCATTCATTTTGTACAGTACTCGACAACTTGAACTCGGATAACTCGAATTTCCCGCTAACTCGAATTGTTTTTCGTTTCTCTTAGAGTTCGAGTTGCCGGGGTTCTAATGTATTGCGAGCTAGTGCCCCTTAAACAGAACATGCATGGCTGAATACAGCTATTTCAAAAAACGTTGTCGGAAGAAAAGAAAAAGGCTTCAAGCCAAGACCGCAAGGTAATGTGGGTTGTTTCAAATCCGTCTTTTGCTGGCACTATCACTCCACTAAACTGGTCGCTGATTCATTTGAACCATACTTATCATTTTAGTTTTTAAAAAAGCACAAGGTAACATTACGTTTCAGTCGAAGTACGCTCTTGCATATTCCCATCTTTGAAAGCAATTTTCAGTCAGCTAATTAGCCAGGAAAAATGACATTAAATTTTACATTTTATCAATTTGCATAACGTAGTAACGAAGTCGGCGAAAAAAAGCATTATAAAAAAACTTTTTTCCGAATAATGGTTCCTACTCAAGAATTAAGTAAAGCTCGCCAAAGTCTACTGCAGCTAATATTTTGCACTACACCAGCATGTGAGAATGTATGGACAACCACATCGCCTTCATTCCACCTCGTTCATTTTTTTAGATGATAGCGATTTCTCTGGAAATGAATTCTAAAGGACTAGTTTTAAGTTAAAAAAAAAAAAAAAAAAAAAAAATTTGTGGTCCGCTGTTCACTTCCCTTATGAAACATGAGACATTTCAAGCCGTAGTCGTGCAGCAACAGCCACGGACAAAAAAGGGTGATACACGTGCAAATTAAGTTGTTGTTTTGTTAATTTAAACCTTTATATATGTTGTTCACGGTCTCTTTCGTAGACGCGTTAACGGGCTGCCATTTATAAACTCAAGCGCTTGTAACGCAGATTGGGGAGATCAAGTGATAAGGAGAACTGGAAACACAACGCTCTGCGTGAAAGTATTTAGAAAAGCTGGGAGAGCCTGGTAAAAAGGATTCAACATTTTCATAGTGATGAGTTATTGCAAGAACGTTAGTTTTGAGCGACGCACGTCAACCGACAGTGAACTTTTAGCATCCTTCGCTTGGGCAGTATGCTGCCCACATTTTCGGGAAAAGCGTTCTTCATTAGAACCCCGGTAACTCGAACTCTGAAGGGAAACGAAAAACAGTTCGAGTTAGAGGGGAATACGAGTCATCGGGGTAAATTTCAGGGAAATTTTGATCAAGGGAATGGAAATTTAGTTCGATTTAGGGGAGAATTCAAGTTATCCGAGTTCGAGTTACCGAGGTTGCACTGTAGAAGACTAATTAAAGGCACTTAGTAATAGAAATTTGGGCTTCATGACATATTTCAAAAGAAAAACGTCTCACTTCCTATTGACGCGTACGTCGCTCAAAAACGCCTTTGCTTGAGCTCCGACGAGACAATGTTGCGCCAAAAATTTATTTGAAAAAAAAAAACTGTACGCGGTCACCATGTCACAACGCTAATGCCAGTGGTTAGAAAGGATGTCAGGAACTTTGCATCGCGGGCTCTAAAGAAATGTTGATGCAGGCATTAAAATGATAATTCGACGTGATAGAATTACAAACGGTGGAGGAGGAGTGTGTTTCTATGTGAAAAGTTCAATAAATTTTACCATACGAAATGATTTAAACATGGACACTCTTGAAAATCTATGTCTGGAAATTCAAAAACCTAGATCTAAACCGTTTTGTTGTTGCCACGTGGTATAGACCACCTGATTCTCCTACTGGTATTTTTTCACCTTTCGAAACTTTAATTGGGAAACTCGATTCCGAAAATATTGAATATTTTCTAATGGGAGACCTTAACTGCGACATGATTGCTACTCGATATGACAATAATACATGCAATTAATGATTTTCAAGTTAGCCAGGTCACTACTGCAAAATCACTTGGAGTGACCATCGATGACAGACTTGATTGGAGTGGCCATATCGAGAAAGTAACAAAGAAAGTCGCTTCTGGTATTGGGGCCATAAAACGAATAAGGCACCTTGTCCCTCAGGCGACCTTACAACTAATATATCAAGCTTTAATACAGCCACACTTTGATTATTGCAACATTGTTTGGGGAAACTGTGGGATAACCTTACGGAATAAGGTTCAAAAGCTACAAAACAGAGCAGCCCGTGTTTTGACCTACTCAAGCTATGACGTAGATGCTGGTCACCTTTTCAAACTTCTAGGGTGGAAAAACCTAGCTTGCCAGCAACAATTTCAAAGGGCTACGATGGTTTACAGGTCTCTGCACGGGTTGGCTCCAAACTATCTTAGTTCTAAATTTGAAAGGCGAGAAGTCGCATATAACCTAAGGGACTCTGAAAATAAACTCAATGTTCCATTACCGCGCACAAACTATTACAAAAACAGCTTCAGCTGTAGTGGCGCCATTCTCTGGAACAGTCTTCCTTGTAACTTAAGGGAAGCAGAGTCCCTTGGGCAATTTAAACGATTACTCAAAGAACTGTAAGGCACGGCATTCGTGGAAAGCAGCTTTTTTATTTAAATATTTTTATTATATTAGTATTAGGCATTTTTTAAGCTGACGAATTTTGTACCGTGGATAAATAAAGATTATCTATCTATCTATCTATCTATCTATCTATCTATCTATCTATCTATCTAAAAGAATGTCTATTTGCGTTGGTCGTTTTTAGATATAACGAGTAAAAAATACAAATAGTAAGTTTTGTTTTAAGCTCACCACCGACCTCAACTAACCAAAAATGGTCAGAATGGTTTCCGCAAACAAAATAACAATTTGCATAGTTACTGTTCATCTAAAACAAAGGGTGTTATGAGTCACGTTCAATGTTTTGTTTTTATGAATTTTAAAAACAAACTCGGAAAAAAGCATAAAGCACACTATGAATCAATTTTGGTTTGGCGACAACGACCAAAAAGTCAGTTTGCGTTGTTAGCTCGTTGTTGAATTCCGTCGTTTACACGTCGTCATTCTCTTCTCTAGCTTAAAATCAGTGGTTAAATGAAACAGTCTTTGTGTACACCAAAAGAAAAAAACAACAACATCAATATCTTTACAGTTTTGGTCTTTCTGTGAAAGCGCTAACGGTGCAGTAAACTATAAATGAACGCCGGTCCGCTAAGGGGACAGTCGTTGATTTTTCCCTCTTGTATTATGATTTGATGTTCACAGTTTCACGGTTATATCCGATTAGTTCTTTATAATTAACGCAGTTTACTAGCCTCGCCAAAACAACGAAGAATTCGATGCAATATAAGCGTCGCTGTTAAATGAATCTAGGAATGTCTGCATCGATAATCAGAATGCCGTTTCTTTCAACGTACTTTAAGTTCTTGAAAAAAGTTTAAATTAAACGAGAAGGCCAGCAAAAGTTTAATTCGAAGGTACTTTCCTTCGCCATTCCAAATCACAACAACGAACAAACCAATTACAGATCAAGAATCAGTATTGTCCAATCAGCTTTATCAGTTATAGTGACGTCAGTATTTTCTGATTGGCTGACATTTCCTCTATTGTTCTGTTCCCTATATATTTGCGATACCACCCGGATGGTTTGGGCGGATCAGTAAACCAGCGCACAAAATACTTCTCTTGCCAACACCTCAGGATAGCAAAATATGATCTCACGCTCAATCTCAATCTCAACCACCTCCCGACATAATTATGCATATTCAATGAGGTGCTTTTAACTCATTTTACATCTTTGTGCACATCCGCTGCAAGGTTTGCATCTGATTAACTCAGGTCGCAGTGGGGTCTCAGTCAAGGCAGTTGAATAGGTATATGAATGTAAAGCACCGTCTCCATTGTTTCAACAGAATATTATATCTTCAATAAATGGAGGCCGAGCAGGTCATTGAAGTGGAACAGGAAGGAGCAACAGAAAAGAAACACTTTGATCACGAGACTGGTGGCCTATAATTCATACAATTGAAGACAAGAACGAAGAATGAAAAGATTAGCCGATTTCTACTCATGACATACTCTGAAAAAGTTTATTATAGAGAATCAATCCTCTGATATTCTCCAGGGTCTTTATTAGCTTTAAGCTCCAATTATACTCAGTCAAAATAAAAGTAACTTAAATCCCATAAAACTTAGAAAATGTTAAACATCTGGAACATCAAAATGAGTTTGTAGCTTTCAAATGATTCGATCAGTGATCTAATATCATAAATAACAACCTCGGTAGAGACTGTCTACGGTTGTATATGATTTCTTACATTAAGCCTAGTAATTTCTAGTTTATCTTAAACTTCATCACATAAGCAAACAACTTTAAGGAGGTTTTTAAACTCGGTCACTTAATTAAACTCTAAAAGTTTCAATGATGGTTCGTTCAGTGATCTTTAGAAAGCTAAGTATATAGGCTATCTACAGTTGTCATTTTTACATAAGCCTAGCAAACCACTTTATCTTAAACTTCAAACTTCAAACTTCATGTCATAAGTTAGCCATCGATGTTAAATAACAACTTTATCAAAATCAAGCTTCACTTGCACTGCGTCATTTTAAAATCATGGAACTACAAAACCCGCAAAAATTTTCCTCTAGTTGTACTGTTTTGTTTCTCTCAGTCCTGTGAAATTCTTTTGTAAACAGGAACTCCGCCACTCGATAAGAGCGAGCGCTACCACATATAAAGGACTGAAAAAGAGTAGGGACGTTCACCCGCCTGAATTGGGCAGTTATATACCATGTGCCTTAACCATATGATTTAACCCTATGTTCGGACTCAGTTTGCAAATGATCGAGGCCGGCTCAAGCAGGAAAGTCACTTTAGACAAAATGGTGACATGCAGTTCTTGCAGAGGGACGAGAATAGTAATAAAGCCAACAAGAGGCTAACCCCTACGCGTAGAGAAAGCATCTGGAGAAGTTAGTGTTTCTTAATAAAGCTAGCAAAAGAACTAAAACAGTCCTTTCTCCTTTTTGAGCTGGACTTGCTTCCATCTTGGCAAGGACTCGAACTCAGTCCTCTCCATATCGAATACCAAGAAAAACTCCTCGTTTGATAGGTAGCGCTGTAAAACGCAAACAAAACAAAACAATAACTATTAATGCCATATTTAGACGAATTTTTCTTTTTGCCGATGATGCTAAACAACACTTCTCTGAGGCTTCTGAAGGATCTTAAGGTATACAATATATAACAGTATTCATTACCCTATCGGCTATTTGTAAAAAATTAAAAACTGCGCTTCATCTAGTTGTTGTGCAAAGTTCACATTCAGTACATGTTGACCTTACCTCTCTCTTGGTTTTATCGATGCTGTCTGGAAGAAGATGGTGTGGTTGAGCCAGGACGTCATATGGATGGCACACACCATCAGTAAAATCAGCGTTGTTATTGTGGTTCATTGTCTTTACAGTCTAAACATGGTGTAAACAAAAAACACACGAGCTCTAAAACTGGGGGAGTGATCAGTTACCCAGTAATCCCAGTAACGATTGGAATCTAGAATCCAAGTTCCACTGACAAAGTCCATGGGGGGAGACATACTAAGCTTCAAATGTTCCATTTAAGGATAACTTCCTGCATCAAGTATGAATGTGATTAATCGCCTTGTCAAAAACTCACCTTCGGTGTTATTCGTATCTCTGAAAACTTTTTTATTGTGTCTTCTCCCATTTCATTTTTCATCTCTTCGTAAGTCCTTCCTTCCTAAAGAGAAACAATCGATCGTGGAGAAAAAAGCAATAGGATATAACTATCTAAAACGATTTGAATTTTTTAAAAGTATTTAATAAAATCAAATTCAAACGGCATTCTTTGCAAGTAGAAATGATTCTCCTGAAAATGTACTTTTCAAATGTGTCTCATGTATTTGAATTAACCCTTAATCGAAGCGTACAAGAATACTCTGTACCTAGATTATTGTGTATTGCAAGGTAAGGAACTACAAAAGCTCTTGCTGCAGGGGAACACTTTATAATTGAATGCCAAGTAACTCCTTCCCTCCAAGAAGCCGCCATGCCTCCAGTGACTCACGATCAATTAAGATAGATAATAGCAAGAGAGAATAATCTCTTAATAATAGATAATTAAGGTACGCGGCACGAGGAAAAAAAATGAAAAGGGCAGAAAAGCAAAGCGACTTTGTCCTTTCTATATTTCCCCATCCACTGTTAGTCCGCGCTCTGCGCGACTGTTCCCAGGTCACACATATTGCGCATCTCCCCACTGGCAGATCATTACGATAGGGGATAGTAGCAAATATTCTAATCACAGAAAAGACGAAAAATCGAATTGAGAGTGAAAAATAGAAATATCAATTTAAAATTTGGGGCGAGGAGGCGGATGGCGCCCTCGGGCTTTCAGTTGATTCCTTTTCTGAATGGCTCTCCGGGATTTCCTTTAACCTCTTCAAAGAGGATAAGTCATATCACAGGCCAGACGAAAACCTCGTCAGAGACATGTGGAGCCAAGAGAGGATAAAGCGCAATTGCTGACTCATTAGCGACTGGTGAAGGCGAATTTTTATTAGGAAGAGCAGTATTGTCTTTAGATGTTTCAATTTATAAATATAACACAAGCTAATTTTAATTCACTTGACAACAAGGTCATCAAGTCTCAATCCCTCTCCTCTTTTAAGAAAAAAACTGAAGATTAAATTATTGAGTAAGTATGAAAACAGTTCATAAATGAAAGGTAGAAGCTGAAAAGCGGAAGAAAAGAAGTTAACTACACTTTGTCGAGATCGAGTATCAAGCTCCTCCGGATTGGACTCATAAGCTCCTATAGTTTCTGTTAGGTCTCCTCGCCACTTCTTTTTTTTTCTTCTTCTTCTTTTCCTATATTTTTTGTAATTATTGTGTGGCAAATAAAATAAAATAAATAAATAAATAATTAGTTGGATGTTACACTTACGCTCCATTTATCTCTATCCCAGGCCTGAAAATGTCCAGTAAAATTCAGTGGTTCGTAGCCTTGTTTTACTTGGATTATCACTGTATCTTCCAAGGTCCTTCCAGATGGATCAGAGCTCACGTAATCCTGGAAACGGAGATAAAATTAGGCGTGTCAATAAATAACGCGTGTTTGTCTTTAAGTCACAGACTGCATGAAAATAAAAACCTCAAGCCCTCGGCTGATAGCCCCAATCTTGCGTCACCCTAAGCAAAAGACCGCCAGAGTGACCGCTCAGGCAGTTGCCAATGAAATAGCATGGTAGCATGGTCAACTTCCTCTGTATTCTTCTTCCCCCTTACTTTCCAATTTATAAGACGGACAACTCGGAGGACAGGGGCAGGCCTTAGATACTGCAGTTGACTGGGCAACTTTTTGAGCCTTACCATTGCTACTGTGACTCCCTCAGATTTCTCTACTTCGTTCGCTCCATCACCAAGCCAGACAAACACCTGACGATAGAAACACTATTCAATAAATACAAGATGAAATGATCGGCAGCAAAGAACTTAAACAGCTGTTCACTCGACTAAACTGTATCAAAATCACTGCATCTGGATTAGATCAATCTGTCGTGTTCTCCAGAAAACCTGAAATTTGCATGGTCATTATACCTCGTCATAAGTGTCAAGAAACATAACATCATCCTCGATAAGATCCTAAAGGAAGAAAAAAGAAAGAGCTTTCTTTAGGAATGTATCATGAAAAGGAACTGTGCGCAGCAAATGGCTTATGCGTCTTTTAATAGTTAAGCGGTTCTTCTAAAAGGGTATGTTACCTCTTGAGAAAATTCAAATATTTCTTCTACTTTAAACGCCCCTGATGCATTGGAGCACTGAAACAAACGCGGCGGATAGCTGGGCCTTTCTTCCTAAAAATTAGATTAAAAAATCGACGAATTACTCCTTGAGTATTGTCATTCTGATTATTATTATTATAGTGTATTATAGTGAATAAGTTAATTTTCCGGCTTTTATATATGTTTTATAGTAGTTAAACTTTATTGGTTTTAAATGTGTCCCCAATTAGTGCCGAGAGGCGCTAGAATCTTAGAAGGCGTAGACACTTAAATAAAGGCTATGTATGTATACAAGTGTGTATGTTATAAATTCTTAGTGGTGTTACATTGCATACAATCTTTAAAATTACACATAGAGAAGTTAGAATCACGTTTGTGGTAAAGGGGAAACGATAATTTGTAAGTCAATTTATTCTCGTTAATCGATCGCTCGTGTATCTACTAGGTAGACTTTGCAACTAAAAGACATTGCGATGACAGTGACGGAAGCACGCGCTTAAAACTGATTTCACCGATGGAAGTAGGGCTCTTCAGGAAGTCGGGTTCGGTCCTTTCCACGCGCTTTCGGGTTAGCGAGTACGTTTTCTTTGCTAATTCTGCCTACTGCCATTTAAATTGCACGTCACCTCCATTCTTTTTCCTGTGGCGTATTCTTCATATCCACCAATGGCGTCCCAGAATTGTCTCGGCTCCTTCCCTTCACGAATTGGCTCCACCTCCCTACAGCAAGCAGACGGAAGTAAATAACTGCATAATTACACTCTAATGTACTGGATAATTAAAGGTGTACCATCAAACAATGCACGCATGATGTGGCCGGCTTCCTATAAACAGAACTTCTGAATAAGAAACATTTTAGTAGTGTGCACTGAATATATTTTGAAATACATAAACAACAAAGTACACAGTGTAACCTTCCATGATATACAACTGTACCTGATTTGAGGGGGGTAAAGGGGTTATTGCGTGATACGTGATTTAGTGTTTTCAATTGTCGTGACCGGTGAAAACGCGAAATTAAAACCCGTGAACTGTGAATGTTTTACCTGTCGTGATACGTGACCTTAAAAATCATGCGTGGGACCCCCCCTTTAGCCCCCTCTGATTTGTAGCTTGACTTAACGTTTCGAAAGACACATTCTATGGGATTTTACGGGTTTCCTGCCGGGGTAAGGAATTTTAAATCGTTGTTTGTTTTGAGGAGGTTTGAAGTTTTCCGCAGATTTAGAAATTTAGGGAAACTATTGTATGTCGACCGATGCGTTTGTTCTTGTTTCTTTTATTGTTTTACGTGTGGGTATGAATCACAGCGAAGTATACTCATACTTGAACCTTCCAGTCGTTCCAGCCTCCCTAGCCCCCCGAGAAAAGTAAAAAATTTGTCAAAAGTACCTCCTTTAACGCTTGTGCACAAACATTTACACCAACCTGCCAACCATAAGGTAGTCAATAAGCTGTCTGGCATTTCTCCTTTCGGCGGCGCATGCTCCCTGTAGTTAAACACAACACCCATACATTACCTACATGTAATTGTATTGCGGTAACAGTATTGTAATAATATTGCGGTGACAGTATTGTAATGGTATTGCGGTAATCACCTTTCCCCTCCATAAATAAGCAAGATTAGGAGTCTCCAGTACAAACATGTCCCCTGAATTCAACGAGGCCGCTCTTCGGGGCACCTGGAAAAAGATAAAGGAACCGAGCGAACACTCAACTTAACTTCCTATTTACAACAGTTCATGGTTCATGATAAAACGCGCTCTCAGATTAGTATCAGCACATTTCGAGTTTAGATAGCAGTTATCTTTGAAGTGCTTTACTTAGAAAATTTTCTATTAAGCCGTTACTTTCAGTGTATCAGTAGGAAGCTTAAGCAACGACGACGGCCACCGCTACGAAAACGTCACTTAAAAAGTGAATTTGCGCTGCCTCAAAGTTTATCGCGTTTATTCCATCTCGTTTAATTCGTCAAACGTTGGCAAATTTCCTTGGAGTTGAATTCTAAAGGATTGTATCAAAGTTCAGAAAAACAAAAAGAAAATTGTCGTTTTGTGTTTCCGTCCTCGACAAAACGTGAAATTAGGCATTTTCACGTTGTAGTCGTGCAACGACGGCTAAAAAATGTACAAAAAAGCGTGCAAAGTTGTTATTTTGCCAATCTAAACCTATTGGTTTTCTTGCCGTTTTCGTTGCCGTCGCCGTCGTCGTTGCTTAAGCTCCCTAATAGAGTGGTTTTCGTTTGAGTGTCGTAAAACCAAAACCAAAGTAATTACTCTGGCCAATCACATAGGACACAGACAATACATTGAACCAATCAAAACTCGAAGTAATTACATGTGGCTGACGCAAAGCGCGGGAAAATCGTGCGAGCGCGTCACAATTGGCTTTGGTTTTACTTCTGATTGGATGAAAAGGTGGCGCGAATCTTTTAAGCCAATCGCATCGTGTAGAAAGTGCAAAACCAATTACTTTTCGACACTCAAATGAAAACCGCTCTATTTTGACTGTGTACTTAAACTGAAGCTAGGTGGTGAAACTGTCGGCGCCCCAGTTGTCCCTGTCGTAAACGGTCGCTACCAGTTTTAAGACACTTAAAAAATTTTTGACCTGTTATTGAGAGTGTTTCTATTAAAAAGACAGAAAATCGCAACCCGAGGTCAAACCCAGACCTCGCCACCCGGACCTTTCGTATCCCAATCTCTCTCCTTTACCACTACACTACCACACCGACCCGCCGAGTAGACCTTGTCACGGTTTTCGACGCCATCTTGACGAGTAGGCAAACGCGTGAGAAATTACAGTGTTTGTTTGAGAATCTAATATCGAATAATTGCCGTAAAACGGCTGTTATGAAAAAAATATGATTTGTAAACGAAAGCTTCACTTCTAAGGATTCTACTGAAAAAAAACTGAGGCCGTTCCATGCGCTAGAAGACCTAAAACCACGTTTTTAACTTTCTATGCATTTGTCTGTAGGAAAGTCCCAGAAAAAATTACAGACAAATATATGAAAAATCTAAAGCAAGCGTCTGAACAAACTTAAGCACAGGTATGCCCCCAAAATTTTTTAGTACAATCCTTTGCTTTGTAGCTTTAGTTTACAATTTATATATTTTTTTAAGAAAAGCCGTTTTACAGAAATTATTCGATATTGGATTCTCATACAAACACTGTAATTTCTCACACGTTTCCCTACTCGTCAAGATGACGTCGAAAACCGTGACAAGGTCTATTTCAGGAACATTTTAGTACATACACTACCAAACTAGTGTCTTTTTCAACTGTTACATCAATAACTGGTGACACTAGCCTTTTCCGTAACTTTTAACGAAAATTCAACTTGGACTTCAATGTCGTTCTTTCTAACTATTCGAAAACCAGGGAATATATTACATGCGTGACATAAAGGCTTGATTAACAATGGTGGCATCGAGCGTTAAAATGCCTCGGATGTTTGACCACATTGCATGGATACACATTATACGGTATGGCTGGTTGCTTGTGCATACGCACAGCTGTGACCAATTGTGTAACTAAACAATCTCGTCCCGAGGGCCTTCGTTATCCTTGTCCAGCGGAACGAGCAACAGACGATCCTTGGTGTTGACCAAAAGGATCGCAGCCTGTGGAATAGAGAATGGTGACTGACCTGTATTGCCTTAGCATTCATGTCTGACGTGCCGCGTACGTGAAACATTCGTTTGCCTTCCTTGTCATATGTATCATCCTCGGAACCGGCTCGAAATCCAGCTCCTTTACCACCCTGTGAACAACACAAAAGTCAAGTACTAGTCTTTGTAAGCTGAATGAAATATTTTAATACATTTCCTTTGTTGCTCTTTGCTTTTTATATTCAAGGTTATTGCTAAACACATGAGAGAAAATGGTCTCTGAATGGAAGAAAAGGCCCAACCTCGTGCCTGCGCTTAGGGTGATTCCCACCGCCGCGTGGCCCGCCGCGTTATTTTTACGTGCGTATGCGCGTAGTTTACTTGCGTAAGTAAAATAGGGGAAATTTACAGGTCGCTCGTGAACGTAAAGTTGAACTCGCTCAACTTTTAACGCGCGACCTCTTATGCATTCGTCTGTTTTATTTACGCACGTAAATTTTACGCGCATAAGCACGTAAAAATAACGCGACAGTGGAAATCCACCTTTAGACTGCGTGGCACGCGTTAAAAGGGGAATGAGAAATTCGGGCGCGCGAGAAGTGGGACAAAAGAACTTGTCAGGAAATGGGTGGTGGTTATGGTCGTAGAATCTTACCTCCAGGATAATAAAGCGCCCTCGAAACATTCTTAAGAAGTGCTCGGGTTCTTTGTTTTGGACGACTCGTACCTGAAACGCATGAAGATCGATCAAACCTACGATAGCTTTCAGTATATTCCAGTAGCAAATAAGTAGATAGAAGAGTGGCATCTCGAAAATTAAAGATAAGCGCGACGATTCAACGCTCCTCTCGCCTCTATATTTCCCTGAACAGAAGACTCAAATATTATTTCCAAGTCTCTAACGCCGAATTTAGTTTTTCTTTAATTACCTAGTTACTTTAAAAAGCGGTTCCAAAAATAAGTTTTTTGGCAGTGATCGATGAACACTAGATGGCAAAAGTTTTCGTCTCCACCGCAATATTAACTCTCTCTCTCTATTAATATGATATATTGAGATAAACAGCTCATCATATTTCAGGAACAATATCCAGGTTTGTTAGAATATTGGACCGACACTGTTGCTCTTTAGTGGCCTGATTAACTCAGCCACAAACCTGTGTTGCTATTCCTCCCAATTTTTTGTCCATTTGATCAGCTAGCATGGCTGCCGCCGCTCTTTCATCAATGCTGCTTTTTGCTCCCTTATAAAAAAATAACANGATGGCAAAAGTTTTCGTCTCCACCGCAATATTAACTCTCTCTCTCTATTAATATGATATATTGAGATAAACAGCTCATCATATTTCAGGAACAATATCCAGGTTTGTTAGAATATTGGACCGACACTGTTGCTCTTTAGTGGCCTGATTAACTCAGCCACAAACCTGTGTTGCTATTCCTCCCAATTTTTTGTCCATTTGATCAGCTAGCATGGCTGCCGCCGCTCTTTCATCAATGCTGCTTTTTGCTCCCTTATAAAAAAATAACAATAAAACGATAAACTCCTTTATAATTGATTCTGGATAATTATAAGGAGAATTCCTTTTTTCGTTAACTGTGTAAATTGATGACAACCGAGTTTTTTTTACCAGTAAACGAGTTGACAGTGAAAAGCCAAAGTTATGAAAAGAATCCAATTCACTGGACGTTTCAAAAACAGCACCCGTTTTTGAAAAGGTTTATTAGAAAGAATTGAATTTCATAAAATCTTTTTTTACCAGACAGGATTAATCGTGCAAATATGATCAGGCTTTTCTTTCTCGAATCATATGAAATTGTAAGCCACGATTGGTTTAGGACTTTAACGCTCTTGCAATCCGCATATAATGCTATAATTTTATTATCATCTATTATTTACTAACTATCAAAACGCGTGGTTGTTCTAAAATTAAGTGTTCTTTTGCCGTGCTTGGTTGGATGTTTCAGTATTGTGTATTTGAGTGCATCCAGAACCTAACTTCACCTGCCAAAAGTAGATGATAATCCGTCGTTTCCAGTTGGCCGTGTAGTTATACTTGATGACGTAAGAATCGCCACTAAAAAACATTCCGTGCAAATTCTGTTCCCACGGAATCAAGTCACGCTCTTCGACCCGCCAGATCTGGAAACAAAAAAGACTTAATCAATAACAAATGAACAGCCTCGGGCCGGACGAGGAAAGAGAACTGCTGAACAGTTGAACTGAAAAACGCACTGCGTAACTCAGCTTATTAAATTGATCGCCTATCATAAACCACAAACATTTACCGACCAATAAACTCTCTAATAAAAAAAAGGTAAAAATGTTTCTCCGTTCAAACTCTGGAAACAATGCAGGGTAAATCGGCGGTTTCAAAGCCGGCAAGCAGGGCCCATGGAGAAGTTGATGACTACAAAGCGTAAAAATGTGAAATACCGAGTGACAAAAAGGGTAGCAACCTTTAACTAGTTTAGCATTCAATCACTCAGCCTTCCCTTTTTGGTTCCATTTTTTGCTCAGATGTGGTGTTGCTTAAATTTGTTGTTTTTAAACTAAAGTGTGTAAATAAAGGAATCGTGTTTACCTCTACATCTCCTGTTCCATCGTCCGGGAGGATTTCCGTTTTGTGTTTTGGTTTTTCGCGGTCGTGAAGTTGACTAGCATCAAACTTTTCGTTGCTTTGTTTAGCTGATTGACAAATCATATAATGTCGTCTGAGATAAGACCAACCTCGTCTAAAGACTCTTTGTGGAATTGGTGTGGTCCCAGATTATACCCACAGCGCAACTTAGCCCGCTCCAAGGAGAATTTTAAGAGATAAGCCTACACTAAAGTTATACCAACACAATCGCCTTAGTTTTTGTTTTTGCTTTTTTCGTGTGTTTACTTTCGTTCTTTGTTCTGATAAGATAAATACGGTATCGGCAGTGAAGATAAAGAACATATATGGGAGTGGTATAGACTCACCTAAGTGGCCCTGCCTGAACACCTTTCCCAGTCCAACCTGTTCACCTTCGTCTCTCCACCCTGAGAAAAACTGTTTGAAGATCGGTGTCTCACCACCCTCCACCACACGGGTGACTTGTGTCCACTGAGGATATCCCTTCTTGCTTATAAATTCCTTCAATTGACAAAAGGGAGAAATAAGCCTACTTCAGAAATACCATCACTAGGATTTATGAGGCCTTTTCAGAATTCCTCAAAGCTGCATGGGAAACACTTACAGGAGAAATAGGGGAAAGGGAAAGAGGTGAGAAGACTTGTAAACAAACATTTAAAATTCTTCATTGACCAAGCACAAGAGAATGGGAACGGGAACGGGAACACGCGGGAGATCCCGAGAGGACAAGACGAGCCAATCTTGCCCGCTCGGGTATCCAATCAGAATGCAGGATTCACTTCATCTTTCCCGCTCGCGGATTCAGCCATATAATGAAATACAATACAACAGACTTAATCTTAAGAGGGCAGTACCTCTTGCAGCGATAATGATCATGGCTCCTGTAGCGGCCCTCTATCCGTGTCACATTATGTTTATCAATTTAGTAAAGCTTACCAATCCATTTTTCATTCCTGCTTTCTTTTCTGCGTCAGTGCACTTCTTACCGATCCAAACAAATATACCAGTACTTCCACAGTCCAGAATAAAACAGTCCTACAACGACATAAACCGCCTCATTAACGAATGCGGACACTTTTAAAACCGCATACTTTTTTATAGGAATCGGCCTTGTGTCCACACGAAACCAGTCAATCAGCACATCGAAACAGCATACTTTTGAAACCACTCTGCAGAGTGGTTTCTCTTTTTTGAACCGATGGGTTTGGTGAATTCGTGTGGACGACTGAAACCGGATATATTTTTAAAGTCAACTACGTCAAAAACTCGGGTCCAGTCTTAAGTGAAAACTCAAACTGGCGGACAACAACGCTCTGTTGTTCTGACAAGTTGAGAAATATTGGCTAAAAGCGCTGTAACTAGGAAAGATAAGGCCAGTTTACTCGATATAGCTACAACAACATTCAAAAATGCCAACATTCACATCGCAGGCTTGTTTTGAGCGCTCCTACTAGCTAGTAACGCTTAACGTATTCCTGTGGACGGGTGAATCCAACCGGACACACCACACCGAATTGTTGTTCCTTATTTTGTTAATTACATTACATTGACTGTGTACGTTTACAGTCATTTTCCCTGACACAACATTTTGAACGAGATTTGTTCCTGAGTTCCTGAGGGATGGATGGCAGTAGATAAACAGAATCAATGAAACATTAGCGGATTTAGGGGTGGGCCGAAGGGACCGCGGTCAGCCCTTTTCCTTTGAATTAGTTTTATAGAATTCAGTCTCAAAAAACAAAAAGGATTTAGAATAGAGCTGTTAAGTGTTCCGGCCACCCCTTTCTGAATTTTCTGGATCCGCCCCTGATAAAGGTGTAAAGAGCAAATCTTACATCTACAAAGAGGTAGTAATAGACTTTGCTTCTTCACCTGAGCTCCGCTGTCAAATAGTTTCTTTTAAGTTGTCAAGGAAACGCCATTTTAAACTTGTCGTGCGGTCTAGCAAGCTTGGTTGAAAAGTTATAGCATATTTACGTACAACATTTACCTGTTCTACATAAGCTCAGAATAAAAAATCGCAAACGTGGGCTATACAGTAGGCTTGCGGTGAAGTTGAGCCTCATGAGTTGTCTTGATAAGGTTTCTTAGTTACGGTTACTCACAGTATTGTAGTATTTTAGACTTAACAGTTTTAACAGAGTTTAAGTGCATTATGTAAATGGTTGGCTTTTTTAGTAACATTATGTAAATACTTAGTTTTTAGTTAGTAAGAGAGATGTAAAACTACTGTCAATAAATCATTATTATTATTATTATTGTTATTATTATCGTTATACAATTTTCAAAGGTGTAATGTTACTCACATACGGATCCAAATGCTCTTTTTTTAAAGGCATTTCATTGATAGGCGTCATCTCTAGACTTCCACTTTCATCAGAAACCCTGCAAAGAGAATATTGCGCTAGCTATGCAATCTATAATCTTGCCTTCCAGGTTGTAGGCTATTATTCACTTAATCACTTCCACTATATTATATGGTGCGCAACATACAACAGAGTAGCTCGAGAGCATCCGGGCTTTTTGGCTTTAGTTTCACCCGCCGAGAAAAACTATTTTTCGNTTACTCACATACGGATCCAAATGCTCTTTTTTTAAAGGCATTTCATTGATAGGCGTCATCTCTAGACTTCCACTTTCATCAGAAACCCTGCAAAGAGAATATTGCGCTAGCTATGCAATCTATAATCTTGCCTTCCAGGTTGTAGGCTATTATTCACTTAATCACTTCCACTATATTATATGGTGCGCAACATACAACAGAGTAGCTCGAGAGCATCCGGGCTTTTTGGCTTTAGTTTCACCCGCCGAGAAAAACTATTTTTCGGAGGGAGAGAAGCAACGACCGGAAATACGTCTGTCGTTCGCAGGCTAACAACAGAACGGGGCTCTAATTTTAAGTGTGTTCTTACAGATAACCCACCCAGCAGAGAAGAGGTTGGCCAAACAAGCGGGTCTACGTCCCCTGCTCTTTCAGAACAGTGGTATGGGTTCTTTCACCTTCAACAAGAACCTGATAAGTGAAGTGCTGTGAGACCAGACCTACGTTTTCCGCCCTTATCTGAGAAGTCTAGGAAGTCTAACCGTTGTTGTTTGTAATTGATATATGAAGTTCTACTGTTTCTTACATATCTTTTAAGCTCTGGGACCACTGTAATTGGGTCACCGCTGTTGTGGCACCCCTGCCTATTAAGCATTTATTATTCATTGTTCAGTAATAGGCGAAGCTAAGAAAATAAAATAAATAAATAAAATAGATGTCATTGCAAAAGCAGCACTTTGGCTCCTCATTTCTTTAAAGACTCTGAGTGTTGGTCCGGCCTGGGTTTGAACCAGTGCGACCTCCCACTCAGCAGACCGGCGTTCTCTTGACTGAGCTTATTAGGAGGCGGTTTTTAATCGTTTAGCAATGATTAGAAAATCTTTATTTATTACATTCTGTCCTTATTATTCGGACACTCGAGTTAAAAATAAATTAATTAAAATTGACAGGCAAGTTTCAGTTAAGAAATTGAAAAAGCTTGAATTTGTGAGACCCTCCCGAATGTATCCGCAAACGTTAGCTTAAAGCGCTGATAAGTCATGCAGTGAATCTGAGTGTAAGTATCGCATCTTTAAGTTTCTTGTTAGGCAAAGGAAACGATTCTAAATTATCTCTTTACTTACTTTAGAATAGCAGTGTTATAAATGCTGGTATCTAATACCTGTAGAGAGTAACAATTTGTTGACTGGTTTTTTCAAACGCTACGTCATCGCCTCCTTCAGACGCATCCTTGACGTCACCTCGTGAGCCGAGGGCTTCGAAAAAACTGTTTTCGTCTCGGTGGTCTTTACCCTCGTCTGAAAATAATAACCTGATTATTAAAGGTCAAGAAGACCAAAATTGATGCAAAAGCTCAAAATGTTTTAACAGAGTGAACTCTTATGATGTAAAAGTGGCCTGCAAGCAAGCTCTCCAGTTCATGTCCCCCGCTAGTGAGTAGTGAGCAAGTGGCGGGGAATCTCTCCTCCGCAAAGAAAGGGCGAGCCTCTCTCCTCCACAGATGCCCCCTTACGTCGTAGCTCGTAAAAAGTAAAAAAAAAAAGACAACGCACAGGGCTGAATCGCAGCGAAGGCATCTCTGGAGGAGAGAAGGCATTCTTCACCCATCGTCTTCACGGTGCGTGCCGCTTTAATGTGACTTCTATTCCCGAAATGGAGAGCTTACTCGCAGGCTGACTGAAGTGTATGCAGTGAGATATAGTACCTATAATGACAAGCTTTGCTTTTCCTCCTCTTTCTTCATCTCTTATACGTCTGGCTACTTCAATTCCCTGGAAAACAAGAACTTCCCATCACAATGCTTCTTGAACTTTGTAACCTTGTTGATGCTATAAATTTTGGCAACAGCATAAAGGGGGGCAACCAAACGAAAATAATGTGAGAGAATACCAGGTTATCCACGAATGGTGATGATTAGATAGCGGCTGTGCCGGAAGAATATGAAAATTAGTCATTTTATTCCGTCCTCAAACATACGTCTATAATGTGACCCCAAACCCTTGTACAAACCTTAAGTATCATAGAAAAGGGGTTGGTGGAGATAAGGGACTTTGATTTTCCTCGATCAGATGTTAAGGGAATGATTAGCTTAGGCATACCTTCATTCTCTCAGTTCTGCTACACTGTGAACCGTTCCAGCAGTGAATAGTCATCCCTTCATCCAGGATAAACACATCTCCTTTATTTAGAGAAGTGTAGTGAAGTTCTACCTGCAAACAACATGTACAAACGTACCATTAATTGTCGCGAAACACTTTAGGAAAGACTAATAATGTCTAACGTGAGCGCGCGCGATGCTCCCTTTTCTCCTTCCTCGCGCGCCATACAATTGCCTTATATTGTCAATAATGAATCACTAACCTGCGTGGCAGGCTTTTGAAGAAGAAGAGAACGGGGGAATTAAGGTGCGCCACCCAAGAGCCATGATGGCTCTTGGGTGTTTTGGGTGCGCAAAATCGCTATAGGCGCGCAGGGAAGGAAGGAACTCTTCACTCTGTCCTCGCTCGCTCACCCCGTGTGCGCGCGCCTAGTTTCCCTCTTTCCCTTCGCCTTCGATCGCCCACCGTACAGGCTACACATTGACTTTAAACTCAAACATTTCTAGTAGAATTGTTGAAAAAATAAAATAATAATAATAATAATGATAAACTGCGAACCTGTACTCTGTAATCTGCCAAAAAAGGGACAGTGATAACGATGTTGCCAAGTATCATATAATTATACTCGATCTCTTTTTAATCACAACTAGTTTTTGTTCATTTTTAACACATTGTCAAGAAGGATTACAATGTGGTTTTTGAATGAATTGAAAAAACAAAGGGGTATAATTAAATAACCGTAAAACCAACCTGTGATACTCGCACATTTCTTTTGCCCTTGACATGAAAGAGCCTTTTCTCATAAACACCTCTTTGTACTTTCCTGAAGCCTGACTCGACCCCGCCTTCAAGGTATCTACCAGAAAGAAAGATAAGCAAGGCGCAACTAATTTTGTACTCCAATTTGTTCTCCAACTGACTCAATCACTTTAAATTTCTTTAAAAGGCATGCATCATGTAACGTTTGTAAACTTGTCTTGCATCCGGGTGACTTAACTAAAATTCTGTTATTACGTCTCATTTGGCCAAGGGTACCTCTCTAATAAAACAATACAATGGATAAAAATACCACTCGCCTTATTCCTTTAGGAAAATAAGACAGAAATTTTCTTGATTCATGGTCTTGAACCTAATACAGACAAAGAAACAGAAATTAAGAACGAATTGGTCCTTGTTATCACATGTTATTTGTGCCGAGTGATCAGAGCATTATTCATAATTGTAGTTTTATTCACTATTGAATTCAGTTATAGTTCGTCCTTGGCACTACCTTTCCTTTCCTTAATTCATTCTTAGTCTGAAATTAATAAATTACCATAATTTACTCTGGAGGGTGAGTAGATATTCACTGAATCATGTTGAATANACTTTAAATTTCTTTAAAAGGCATGCATCATGTAACGTTTGTAAACTTGTCTTGCATCCGGGTGACTTAACTAAAATTCTGTTATTACGTCTCATTTGGCCAAGGGTACCTCTCTAATAAAACAATACAATAGATAAAAATACCACTCGCCTTATTCCTTTAGGAAAATAAGACAGAAATTTTCTTGATTCATGGTCTTGAACCTAATACAGACAAAGATACAGAAATTAAGAACGAATTGGTCCTTGTTATCACATGTTATTTGTGCCGACTGATCAGAGCATTATTCATAATTGTAGTTTTATTCACTATTGAATTCAGTTATAGTTCGTCCTTGGCACTACCTTTCCTTTCCTTAATTCATTCTTAGTCTGAAATTAATAAATTATCATAATTTACTCTGGAGGGTGAGTAGATATTCACTGAATCATGTTGAATATCATAAGCGCATGACGTGTAGGCCGCTGGCTTGAAACGTTCGTTGGAATACAACTTCACATAGTAAAACCCACATAGACTTTCGGCGACAGAATGAAATGTTTCTTGGGCAGAACAGAAAGTTGGTCTTATATAAATAAAAGATTACTACTGTACAGCTATATTCAATTTGTGGTTATCTTGTTGCCAACCTACCCCCCTGTACTACACAGGACCCCACGTAAATGATAAGAGATAACTACTGTACAACTATATTCAGTTGGTGGCTATTTTGTTGCCGACCTACCTCCCTGTACTGCACAGGACCCCCACCTAAATGATCATCCAACTCCACTGTCTTGTAAGCTGCCACGCCCTGCTCGTCCTATAACGAAATGGTTTATTTGTGGTTTAATTAATATGATACGATTATAATAACACATCACACATGCTGGTCGGTATAAAAAAAAGGCAATATCGTACACTTCTTAGAAGAATTGCTTTCAACTCTGCATTGAAAACCGCATAATAATGCATTTACCTGTGAGGTTGTACTACCAAGCCAAAAATGGATATCCCATTCTAAATGAGACTCAACTTTCCTTGTCTGGTAAATTTAAAGATGAAGAAAAAACGAAATCAAAGTAAACAGAGAAACAAGTACTGAATGAATATATAAAATCAAAACTTCAATAAATAAACTAAACAAAGGAAAAGAAAATAGAAAGCAACAAATGTGGAAAATTCAGTAAAAAAACTGTAGTGATCACCAGTGTGTACCGATCCGTTCGATGTATGCAAACTTACCGATAAACAAATGTACGAATCTCCTGAATAGAATGTGCCGTAGGTACTCACATCTTGAGCAACAACTTTTAGTTTCTACAACAGAAAGAAAATTCACATTACCTTAACAAGAAGCATGTAATCCTTCCTAGAGCTACAACTTGCAGTTTCAAACGCAGACAAAAAGATACCGCGAGGATAAAATTAAACGCTGTAAATTAAAAAGAGCTAAAAAGATCTTAAAAAGATCTGTTAAGCTCTATCTAACCCTGTGAAGGCAAAGTCTGATTTATCCTATCGTGGATCCATTTAAGCACACTTAAACCAAAACAAACCTTTCTATATGAAATAGCTATATGATCCAGTCCACTATGGTATTAATTTAAACATTATTCATTCATTCATCCATCCATTCGTTTATTAATTCATTCATTCATCCGAATTTATTAGAAAGCATGCACCCTTCCTATGTCGGTAACGGTGACAGAATACAGTGACTGTCCGTAGAGGACAATAGGGACCTTACAATCCGACAACGGCAACATCCATGAAAACTTCAATGAAAAATAGACTTTTTTCACTTTTTTTCGCGATTATTCCAAGGGGCGTAGTTATACTTAAAAGAAAGGAATTGGGTTAGAGCTGAAGAGAAGGGACCGCGCCCAAGTTCTGACAGAGATTGTACAATTTACCGCTTTGCCGTTCCCGTTTCCAAGTAAACTTAAAATTTGGTCCCTTCACGTCTTAGTTATACAGGGACGGCAAAAAAATGTACAAAAAAGCGTGATGCACGTGCAGAGTTGTTGTTTTGCTCATAAAACTTATTGCTTTTTTGACGTTCCCGTTGCCGTCGCTGTCGTCGTTTTGTAAGGTCCCTAATATATATCACAATAAGGCGAGGCTCCTGTCGTAGTTCAGTCATTTTCTTAGACTATCCGTTTAGGGCACACACCGCTCCAAGACGGAGGCACTGATGTCTGTCTTGGAGGGAGTTGCGTTAAGGTTAATGAGAGAGAATTACCTAGCAGGTCGAATCACTTCGGGTTCACATCGTTATGTGAGTGGCTATAGGGACCTCAGTACAAAACTACGACGGCGACGGCAACGGCAACGGCAACGGCAACGGCAACGGCAACATCAAAAAAGCAATAGGTTTAACGAGCAATTTTTCTGCTGTCCCTGCACAACTACGACGTAAAATCGCCAAATTTTTAAAGTTTACTTAAGAAAGGGAACGGCAAGGTGAATAAATTCTACCATCTCTGCCTGAACCTGTCTCAGCCCCAACCTAAATTCCCTTCTTTTAAGTCGACTGGGAGACTTGAGATAATTGCCGAAAGTTTCATGAACGTCGCCGTTGTCGGATCGTAGCTCACAAAGTCTTGAAAAGGTAAAGTTGAGACACATTGTTTCTTAACGATAAACCCATTAAACAAGCTAAGAAGGCTTTGTGAATAATGTTCCTGCAGTGCCTAGACATCCGCTCAAAATCTTAAACTCCAAAGATCAAATGAAAGGATAAAATTATTTGACAAACATTTTGAAATTGAGACTGACCGTTCGCAACCTATCTTTGTCAGTTACCTCCTAAAAAACATTGATTCTATAATATATTAACGCTCGCCAAATGAACAACTCGAAGAAAATAATTTGGTTACTGTACATATTATTTGAAACTTTGCGCGCTGTCTTTTTCTTGGTTTGTGGTTGCTGGGCAATAGAACTGCATGCTATATATTTACAGAGATTAAAAAACATTTACTTCCATCAAGATGTGCTATGAATAGTCATAGACTGTAGGAATAGAGTGGAACGACCAGTACTAATCTGTTATATATCAGGTACTAGAGAGTAGAATAGGGGATTTCAAGGTCACTACTTAATGGAAAAGAATGTATTTTAAGTATTAGTAAGTATCATTGGATTGTTCCAGTTCAAAAATGCCTCAAAGCAAGATATTTTAAGGATATTTTCCTCTTTTTGTTCAGTTCGCGATCGAAATTTTCTAATCGCTGGTACATACGAAGGCGGTACGAAGTCAGTACATTTGAAAGTTCTCCTTTTCCTTAGTGCAATTGAAAGTTAACTTAGCTTGCTTAAGTGCAGCATGCATTTTGGCGTTTGTCAAAGAACTGATTACTTTTACTTTCAGAAAATTTTCACAGAGTGGAATTAATATTTAGAAAATAATTTCCTCCTTTGGCCCTCTTGCAGAGAAAAGATTTGACACCCAGCGTTGGACGTTGGTTCTCACGTGTTTTTTTTCCCCGTTCTCTAAATGCAAAAATAACCTAAAAATCCTGAAAAAGAATGTAAGTTCTAGATGTGTGTGTAAAATTTGAATTTGATCAATATTTAATTTCTTTAGCAACGAAAAAAGCTAACCGATGTTTATGTAAAGGCGAACGTTAACTGCATTTTGGTGGTAAGCCAAGATCTTCAGTGTTCCAGCTGGACAAAAAAAATTAGAATGCCATTGGCTAAGCTTGACTTAACAGAGAGTTGTTCAGCCCTGATGGCTAAAGTTTATACTTAACCCAGTGGTACGATTTCGCTTTGTAAAATGTATAGGAAACCTGCAGAGTCTAGAATGCTCATTTCGTGCGTTTTGAGTAAATCCGGCCGCACCCCGCATTCAAATTTTAAAGTTAAAAAATTAGCAGCTACCCAGGAACACGATTATGACATGTATTCCTCTGCCAGAATTCTTTGCTGGGTATGTAAGACCTAAAATGAAAATTTACGTTGAAATGCGAAATTTTTACTCGCTGAGGCAATATTTCCACCTTAGCTGAGTTGTGTGTTGTAGTTAATTTGTCTTTAATACGTTGGTGGTGAATTTTATAGGCCACTCTATAAAATAAAAAACATTGAATCATAAGTACCAGCGTATAACTTTATTTCTGACGTGCAATTAGCAGAGATAGTGAATATAGCTACACTTTTATCGATACTACATTAAACAAAGATAAGCATTAAGATAAGTTTTTTGACGGTTTTGAAATAAATGTCACAAACAGAGCTTTACTCTTTCAGATTATCTTTGGATGAAACCAGTCCCCGAATTTGCCTCCTGTTGGCGTACGCCTTACTATTCGCTATTCGATTTCCGGTTCCCGTATATATTTGTAATGTTGTACTGAAGAGTTAACGATCTTAGACGCCTTACACCGAATATGAAATTTGTAATATTTACTAAACATTAGTAAAACGAATAACCACCAGTTACCTCAATCCTCCAGATCTCTAGCCCAGGTTTCTTTCCGGCTTCGAGGAAAGCGTCATCGACTCCCATGAGGAAGAAAACAATAAATAATATAAAAATAACGGAAGGGAAAAATATAGTGGAGGAATCGGTTGGCCGAATTTGACCGTTAGCTCGGTTTCGTGCTGCGGTGAAATGCCCAAGTCAAATTTCAGCTTGCACGAATTTTACGTGTTCCTGTTTTGAATTAAATTTTCTGTGTCGTCCAAGCGACAAATTCAAAATACAACTCATTCAGACATAAATTTAAATAACTTTGTTTCTGAAGATGCGGCAAATGTAATCAAGGCAGGCAAGGGGAGATTCCTATTGGAGGCACAAGCCGACACGTGTCGTAGAACTTGGCAAAGTTTAATCTCTTGTTCTGGTGTAAACGATTGCCTGATGTTTATTTCTATGCACATATATTATTCCTGTCGTTAAAAGCACATATAAGCTTTTAATTTCAAGCGGAAATTCACCTTTTAATTCAAAAGTCCTTAAATTGGATGTTAATGTGTCTGTGTCAGAGTTTTCAGTAAAGACTGACGAAAATTACACTGGGTATCCTTTACTACAATATAATACTCATATATTCACTAAATTTCAAATTAACAGCAAGCACCTTAGGAAAGCATCAATGTGCAAATAGTGTCTGTTGGTAATAAATTAAGAACCTCATGTTTCTTAGTATTGGCCCCGAATTTCCTACAAGGGGAAGTTTTTAGATTTTTTTGACGGCCCTTAAAGCGCATTATATATTGTATTTCATCTTAGTTTCTCAGTCTTGTTGCTTTTTTTCAGAACACATCACTAAGCTAAGATGCTGTTTGAATTATCATTTGAGTTAAAACAAGTCATTTTCCTATGAATCATTCATAAATTGAATCTCTCTCGGTTTTTGTTTTCATAACCTGTTGACTGCGGTTTGTAGCTTGCGCTGGGGCGCTTGAGAGGTCGTGGGCACTGGAATTAGATTCTACGCAGGTGATAAAAAAAACTGACATGTGTGCGTTAAACAAATATCATTCTCCGCAAAACGCTGTGATGAGCAGTCACTTGTCAACAGGTTGAATATGAAAATTAATTTCAAACTGATTCAAAACTGAATATACTAGGCAGCATCCAGAGAGCTCTAGAGCTTGCATAGAGAAAAACAGAATCAAATTGGGATAAACTTTCAAGCGAAATTGATAGCGACTCAGTTCCAGAGCACACTTTTACTTATAAAAAGGAAACCTAACAAAATTGAAAATTACACAATTTTGAATTCTCTTTTATTATTTCAACTTGGTTTTTGTTTTTTTGTGTTCTTTAAAGTAACTGAAATCAATGCTGCGCATCCCACCAAATAAGTGAAAATACACAGACAAAACAAAATGTTAGTCCCTAAATTATATTTTAAAAACCGATTAGGCTAGCCGATGCTAAAACTATGTTACCAACTCATTTTCATTTTGACCAATTCTAATATCTTAAACATTAAATTGACCATTGTGAGTAATGTCATGTGGGTGCATTGAGATGCAAAAAAAGCAACCCGCTTATGAAAAGATATGGAGGTCCTAGTCCCTTTTTAAACATTGTGCCTCGATAATAAAGCCATGATAATGCCCGGCATTCCTGCCAGGCCGCTTTGCAATTAGCCATCAGTTTAACCGGCTAGAAAGTCTTCTGCCAGGAGTCTCTAACATATCTTTAAGTTCTTTCAAGCTACAGTAAAACATGCAGAAAAAACTTGAAACATTGCTGCGAAGAAATTGAAAAGCAATGTTGCTTGCTTAGCCACCCACGTTAATACCTGTCTTGCAAAAAATCAGGTTGTTGTAATTTGCGTGTATACTGAAAATACGTGGTAGTCAAGCCATACCGGCAAGATGTACATAGAATTCCGTCCAGGGATTTAAAAATTAAAGTGAAAATCATGACTCATAATAACATGGTCTAGACAAAACGTTAACCAGCCTTCACCTTGTGATTATTTCCAAAGGAACAATTTAAAAACTCCCTCACTAACAATCGGCGACAAAATTAGTTGAGACACTTCGCCCAAAAGGGGGTTTCTGACGTTTTACTGACTTCCAAAGCTTTCCCTCCCCCATCCCTTCCATACAATATTGTGCTGCTGTTCGAGCTACCTGTAGAAAACAACGAACATCCCAACTTTGAATGAAGGGGAGGGGAGGGGGGATGTGTGGATTCTTTTGTTCTCTGTAGTTGCCCTATTTGAGTACAATATCTCAACAATTTGTCGCCGTTGATAGTTTCCCTCGATTCCCTACCAAAGAAAGATTCGCTGATGTGCTTAAATTTTGTGCATTGTGTTATTGTCGCATTTGTCAAATTTACTGAATGAAAATCGCCCAACAGACGCAATCTAGCCTGGAATTGATGGAAAAGGAAGTAGATGGGCCGACAAGGTGCGATGTGCGAGGCATGCTGGAAAAGTTCAAGGTTGTTTGCACCAACTCATCCCATGTAAGAGAATCCAATACAGACTTGGATTCTGGATTCCAAGCAATGGATTTCGGATTCCAGGTACTGGATTCTTTGTCACTAGAACTTGGATTCGGATTTTCAACGGGGGAGGACCAAGTCGTCGAGAGACTTCGCAGAAATAACCCTTCCCGTTATCGTCTTCCCTTTCTTTCGAGCAACCTCAGAACCACGGTACCCAAAATAATAAGGGGCTAATGCACTGCCTGCAAAAGTCAGCAAAGAGTATGAATGGATCATTATACGTTTCTGGGAAACTGCCCACCTACCCCTCCCTTAGGCCTACATTTTGCCCTAAGTGAGAGGTGAGTGTTAATGTTGGCTTAGGGGAGGGGTAGGTGGGCAGTTTCCCAGAAATGTATAATTATCCAGAATTATGCTTAGTGCTCCCTGAAGAAATTTCTTTGATATCTTCATAACTCCACAGGTACAGTTTGTGCATGGGTAAAGGCACCAATCAATGACTTAAGCACAATTAAACACAGGATTGACCTAAACCAGCAATTTCCCGTTACATAAACCCTTTAAACCCTTTCACTGCCAAATGTGACCAGAGGCAAATTCGACAAAAATCCCAAATTTCATTTCGTAAAATTTTAAAAAACAAATAGCACCACATGAAAGTACTTCCTAAGAGATTTCATTTGAATGGTCATTCCATAGGATTTTGACCACAGACATAAAAGTTAGAACCACCTCAAGAAACTCCATCATTCACTCTAGCAGTGCAAGGATTAATATCGAAGTGTTATGGTAGATCGTATATCAGTCAACATCGTATCAACCAAACTATTTTACACCCTATCTTTACTTCTCTTTTAAAACCTAAGTGCCATTCTCTAAGAAGCCAAAGCAATATATTAAATAATATACAGCAAGTTAACCTGACTTACGAAGTCAGTCTAGGTTCTAAAAACGTACGATCTGGCTTTTTCGCTTGGAATACCATTTCCCAAACATGCAAAGATACCTTCCTCGTACCCAGACGTCTCTCTCTCTCGATGAAAATGTGCGCGCAAAGGAAAGCGGGAAGAAGACAACGGGCGAGTTGGCGCTTCGCCTGCCGTCTGTACCCTTCCCATGGTCCCTTGCGGTTCATCACCAGTCACTCGCGTTTCGCGCTCGCCTCTACCATGCGAAAAACGAAGCGCCTGGGGAGGAGGCTGCAGAGATACCTAACTAGGCCAGATGATGAACAAGCTTTTAAAAATCGGTGAATTTACAGTTGGAATCAACTACTGGCTGCAGAATACTAGCAGCGAGTTAAGCCTAAAATGAATTTTAAACTTACATAATTCTCGTGATTCGAGAAAACATACTTCAAGACCTGAATCATAATTTACGAAAATATTACAGAAATTAATGCCTAATAAGTGTCTTTAAATTCCATACAACATAACTAAGTTTTTTTTTACCTCCAAATTTCTTATCAAGAGGATATCCAGAATTAGGAATAAAGTTGACTTCGTGGACAAAAGAAAGTATTGAACATGTTAATTTAGAAATGATTTATACGCCCTCCCTCGAACTCATGGTATGCCGGTTTGTTTTAAGAAATGATTGTATTCGTTAACGGAACTTGATTGATACTAATATTTCTTCTGGTTTTCCTTTACAGTTTTTTTTCTGGTTTTACGTACTGAAGGTAAGGAGAACATGTAGGAAATTGAATATTTTCAATTCATAAGAAGGAATATTTCACTGTATAGGTATTTGTTTCAGAAAGTTTAAACTATAATTAGCAGCTCCCTAAAACTACTCAGAAACGTGGAACTGTGTAGTAAACATACAGTGACCTTATCTTTTAGTCGTTTTTTGTTATGATGCAAAATGCCAATACAGAGCGATTTTCTAAGTTAAGCTAAGTCGTTTTTTTTAATGTTCTTGTTGTTGGTGTTCTTCTGTAAGTAACTATAGTACTACTCTTAAATGAATTCGAACACGCACACACGAAGAACTATGTTAGACACCATTTAAAAGGATTTAACATCGTTGGTCCAACATCATCCAAATTGCTGGTCCAACGTTGGACCACCATGCTCGGATCCGTTTAAACGGGCAGTTATGACTATCGTCTTAGAACAACGATGAAAAAGGGAAAATGATTGCGAACGGCACTTAAAATATTACATGTAACAGCAACTTCACCCTTCACATCCATTCAACAGGCTAAATGTTTCCATTCGCCACTTTAGAAACGAGAGGGAAATGGGCCGAGTTATTTTTCGCAAAGACTTCTGGGACTGTTATTGGGGACTGGGAAACAATTAAAAAACGATCCCACAGATAATTGCGGGAGACATCTCGGCTCCAGTTCCCCTCTCGTTTCCAAAGAGGCGAAACGACCTCTTTAATATCTACCCAAAATAATAGCACCCAAAACTACATGTACACTATCAATGAAGTTCAGTCCATTCCAAGGATCCACACCTTGTCCCTTATCTCCATTACGGTGACACCACTCCTGGAATACACTCTCAACCTTGAGATGCTTAGCTGTCAGTTAGAACTTTGTACTCTGTAACGGGCCATACACAGGAGTCTCAATTGATGCCAGGAACCGTAGGCCGAGTGATTTCGAAGGAATCCCGACAGCGCTTGGAAAAGATTTCCGAATACGTATCAGAAAGATCTACTGGGACGTCCACCAAGTATTTCCAAGCACGGTCTCGAAGGATTTCCATTCGTTACTGCCAAATTACGACAACTGCTTCGTAGTTACACGGCCGATAACAGTGCTAAAAAAATGCAAGAAGCGTGATCTGTTTATGGCAGGAATCCTCCGAAGAAATTAACTGCTGTACATCATAGAATGCTCATTTTTTTAGATGTAGGTTCCCCTAAACCGAGCTACCCCACCTTTTCACAGTGAGTTTTCCCAAGGAAAGGATCAATAATTATAACAGCCAGAGAGCAAACAGCCAGTTCTCCGTACGTAGTGTCACTTTTACAGCTATAAATACAGACATAATTGTTTGTTGTTGTTGTTTTAAAAACATCCGTTGGATCCTTTGGATTTCGAGCGGTTGCCAGTACATTTTCCGTTAATCAATCTTCACAGTGGAGTATATCTTCTTTACAAAAGCACTTGCACCAGCGTATCCAACGGTACCTGGGTAAAAAATGAAACAGTTAAGGATTATCACTTAACAATGATAGAGGTATGGAATAGCGGATACAGACAGTCAGATAGAGCGGTTTTCATTTGAGTGTCGAAAAGTAATTGGTTTTGCACTTTCTACACGATGCGATTGGCTTAAAAGATTCGCGCCACCTTTTCATCCAATCAGAAGTAAAACCAACGCCAATTGTGGCGCGCGCGCATGCATTTTCCCGCGCTTTGCGTCAGCCACATGTAATTACTTCGAGTTTTGATTGGTTCAATGTATTGTCTGTGTCCTTTGTGATTGGCCAGAGTAATTACTTTGGTTTTGGTTTTACGACACTCAAACGAAAACCACTCTATTGAAATTAAAGTTTTTTTCGCGTATCACGGCATCCCGGGAAGCGTCACTTCACAGTTTTTTTTTAATTCACCGGAAAAGTTTGCACGGTTATTTTTATTGAATGAGGTTAAGCCCTCTCACGATCGCAAAATGATAAAAATACTAACATTTGACAACTTGTTTCCGTCACTACGACCACTTCTCCCCCCAAAATCGCGTTTTCCCGCCAAAATGACGCTGGTTCACGCGCTCGCACTACTTAGTTTAGCTTAATATTGAGAAAATCTCGTTCTCGAAGTCGTTCTCGTCAAATTGAGTCTTCACTTTCATGATGAAGCAAAAGGGGCTCACAACAGTCGCCTGTGACTACTGCTGTCTCGAGTGCAACCTGTTCCATTTCAGAAATACGCAAAAGTAAGAAGCTTACTTCATCCTAATTTGATTAGTCCTAACTATACTACCTGTCTCGGTATCAGCTATTATTGTACATTGTATAAATAAATATTATACTGTAAAACCTTTTTTGCTTGGAGCTCAATTAACTAGCCAGTTGCAGTGTCCATCATTTTTGGTCAAAAGCAACATTAGTGTACCATAGCACTTACCACACATGATTCCAAGGCCAGCACTGAACAGTGCCATGTATCCAAAATAAAATGTTGTCTGAAATAAGCCGTACATTCTGTAAAATAAACGATATACAAAAGCTTTGTTAAAACGATAAAAAAACATCAAAAGGGGCGGGGGCATTTGAACAACTCACAAAATCCTATTAAGCCTTCACCTCCCACCGAGACGTTCTTAGAGGTTCGTCACGTTAAGCCTCAGCGTGACTTACTTAACTTGTAACATAAGTAATGAGCTCTGAAGAAAAAAAAAACATACTTGGTTTTGAAGAAGAAGTAGTAAAATGAGTAGAGATAAACGTAACCAGCCGTAGACGCCGCTGAAAGAAAAGCTGTCCACTGCCTGTAAAAAATACATAAATAAATATAAGTTGTAAAATTCACGCAGTAACTTATGAACACTTATCGCAATACGCTATAAACCTTCTTCCCTGACACAAACAACTCACACATAAACAACTTTCAATTTTGCCTGATAATTAAGTTGATTAGACCCAAACATAAATTGTTATAAAAAGCTTTTGGTGCCAGCTGACAGCTGCATGTACCACTATAACTACATGCTGCACATCCGCCGTTGCTGTCAATAATGAATTGTCTGACTCACCATCTGTAATCTTCAGCGTTAAGAAGGAAATAAGTGCACACAATAGTGACACACACAGTTACGATGGTGAGAATCATGAACACAAGGAACATAAAACCAAACACATAGTAGATCTTGTACGCCCAGAAGGATGTGAAGATGAAATACCTGTTGTTTACAAAGAGATAAGAAAAGTATAAGCAAAATAATAAGAAAATAACACCGTTCCCTGTCCCTCAAGTTATGTTTACAAATACTAGTTGGATAGTGAGCAGTAAAATACTGCAACAAGGCACATAATCATTATTAAAAGGAGACAAAGTGTACACCGGTTTCGCCACTTGTCAAATTTGCTATGTTCGAGTTCACAACCAACATACTGGGCTCGCTGACAATTAGCCTGCAAACACAGACTTAATTCTAGTAGTCGCTTCTCTCCAAGAAACGATGACTGGAAATACGTCTGTGTTCACAGGCTAGTGCCGATTGGCAAAGTCTAAAATTTGCACCTTTGGAGGGGCAAGCGTAGAAGAATGAGAAATATATTTACATAATTTTTTACTAGTGGGATTTAGGAAATATTTTTAATGGTTTACAGAAAGTAATATGTAGCGAACTGGTAGCGAAATCGTGTATGACAGTGTATCGTGAAGATGCACAGCTGTAGAGGGAGCTCTTCCACTAAGAACACTCCTTTAATAAATTGATGTGAAGGTCCATTTATAATAAAAAGTCATTTCTGACCTCTCTATACTCTGAAATATTGTTTAGTTTAATATACAATAAAAAAACTAAGATCATTTTTCCAAATCTTGTCAATTTTCGTAAAGTTTTGCAGGGGACTAACAGATATTGCTCCTGACATAATTATCATTTGAGGCCCATTGAACACACCTAAAGAGAAAAAGGACTTACATTTCAATGAATATAGAACCAAATGGCAGAACTCCCCCAAGAATAATGATCACCAATGGCTCCATGAACCTGCAACATAACAAATACAGAAATGTACATGTAGTAATAACTACCAGGCAGAAAGATTAACATGACTATCAACATGAATCAGCATACACAACTGGGTGAAACACCCTTAAATAAACTGCTAAGTTAGTAGTTTTCGTTAGTAGCCCTACGTTTGGGTAATAAAAAGTGTTTGGACTGGCAAAATAACAAATGAAACCAAACAAAGGGCAGAACGCAAAGAAAGTAGTGTCTGATAACCCAGAGCAGTGGATTTTGCTATTGGGCTAGTGAATTCTGTTCTTAACTTGCCCGACCAGTAAGCGGAGTTGTTTTTATGGAATTCAAATTACAGAGGAACTGTTATCAACCCTGTTCATCAAATATTATTTTTTTCGTGCTAGTTTAAATAATATTATTATTACTCTTGGGCTAGCACATGCTAACTACAGCTTGCACTAATAGCAAGCTGTAAAACTGACTTTCTTTTGCACACTGAAAGGAGATCCCCAAAACTGTAGATTACAAAGTTAACATGTACTACCCATCAAGGATTCGCTTGATACTGTCTTACAAAGAAGAACAAGATAGTTTCTTACCATTTTTTCTCAGGTATAGGTCTGGGAACTGTGTTTACTCTACAAGGTACATTGGGTGCACCATACAGATTTCTCCCCAACACAGTTCCCACCAACGTCAATGGCAGGATCACAAAGATAACAATGGCTGTAACAGCAAGCTGTACATAATGAAAAAAACGGAAACACATGAAACGAAATGTTCTTATGGAGTTAAAGTCAAGGTGTCACTAAAGGTTTTGATAACTGTGATAAAAGAGATACATTGTAACTGTAAAAAAAGTGATTACTAAAGATGCTGAATCAGTGGTGTCTAAGTAAAATTAATCTCAACACAAGGCTAGAGCACAAAATTCCAGCTTTTGAATCTCTTACAATATACAGCTTCCAATAAATTATTTACCTGATCGACTTAGCTTAGATGATTTCAGTAAATGTTTGGGGTTTTCACTAACCCACTCAGGGCACAACAAAAGCGCTGTCCAATAGCCCAAGACTAGGAGCGTGGCCTGTTGCGCAAGCGTGTTTTCATAATTATATGAGTTGTCTCACCGGCAAGCAACATTTGCCACAATACAGCCGTGATAAGGGGATTGGTAGACCTACAGGGCCGCTCCAAGCTAGTAAACTTCAGAGAAAGCTCACCCAAACGGCAAGCGATTTTTAAAATTTTCATCTCCTTCTGCCACTAATGCAACGCAACATGTTGTTTCTATTGTTAACATCAAAGAAATTCAAACAAAGCCTGGCAAAGATAATGTCTGCCATCTTCAAAACTGAAAGTTGTTTGGCTCAAAAATTCTAGAAAACCAAGAATTTCAGAGTAATATTCATTTCCTTTAAATGAATTTCCCACTCACCATTGTAACAAATGGGATGGCTCTTGATGCATGATAATAAATTGCAATAAAATTGATCATAAATGCTGTTCCACAGACAAGAAGAGGAAACAACACAGCACTTAATGCCATCTGCTTTATCCACTGTCTCCCTGCCAGTAACAAACAAATGCATGATGTTAAAAAAATAATAACAACTTTTCCTTAAAGCTCTCTACTCCAACATCATCTTAGTGAGATGATAAAAAGAACCCTGGGTTTTATAAATTTCAGGGGAAAACTGGAAATTCTGTTAGAAAAATCAAATGGTTTGTTCCATTTCGTTTTAGAAGCTTCAGAAAATGTGGACTGTGATTTGAGGCGATAATTAAAAAAAAAACTCTTTTTTTGTCTGATCAGGTGATTTGGATATCCTTTGTAGTGGGTCATTCTCCCACGACATCAAATTTTGTAGCTGTATGTTTATGCACAAGATTTCCACCCAGGTGGTTTGCGTAAAATAACGGTAAGCACCTCCTGTATCTACTATCATGTTGGGGGGCATTTTGCCATGTTGTGTCGTGCCAAAGATGCAGGTTTTACCTAAAATCAAGTATTATCATATAATACACTTTATTAAAAACTGAATCATTGAATAATGCAATTCTAGAGCTCTGATTGGCTTAGCCATTATGGTATATGAGCCATTATACCATGCTCTCCAAATATGGTAACTGTATGCATCTGCTCAAAATTAAAAACAAGCTGAAAATCGGTTGTTTTTACAAATAAAGTTGCAAAGAATTCTCAATACTTTGCGGGCGTTTTTAAGAAAACAATCGTGCTTGTTGGATATGAGATGATTATCAGGGTGCAAAGAAAATCATTTTTACTGCTTGCCATTCGGGCAAGCTGAAGCTAGCATTTACTAGCCCAAACGTCATTTCAACTAGCCCCAAAAGCTTTTTGACTAGCAGAATTGATTTCACAGTTCTTCTGTTATTCAAATTCCTCAAAAAACCTCACTTGCCGGTCAGGCAAGTTAAAAACAGAATTCACTAGCCCGATAGCAAAATCCACTAGCCCCGGGCTATGGGACAGTACTTTCTTTGCACGCTGATTATGGCCAACCTGGTGCTATGTGCCTCATTGGCTATCTACCATGGAATAATATTGTTAAGTACACTTTACCTCCTTGTCTAGCATACAAACTGCCACCCATGAATCCATTTACAGGAGCTGTTGCTGCATATACAAATATTGTTGTACTAAGGATGGAGCCACGTCTGTATAAAAATAGAAAATAGTCCACTTTATAATACATGAATAATAAATTAAATTACACAATTCTATTAGATTAAACTTTTCCTATCAAATAAAATCTGAGATCAAGTATTATGGCATTCTTTTACTAGAGGGCTACAATGCAACATTCTTGTTGAATCCTTTTCCTTGTTTATACAGTAATAATAATTACTGTTATCACTGTGTAAACATTAAAGGAAAATGTTCATACAGTACGCCTCTGGCAACTTGTCTCACAATGGCATGACAAAAAAAAATAAGGAAAAGATGATTATAGTCTTATTATTGAAAGTAGTAAAAGATTTTATGAAGAATGAAAAGGGTGAAATTAATGGTCTTGTGCAGGGTTTGAAATAACGGCCGGTCAACAGACAATGTCCAGACTGATTAGGGAGTTGACCGGTCAACCTTTCATCTTGCTGGTCATGTTCACTGGCCATGTTGATCGGTCACATTCAATAATATTGAAAATGAAATAAATAAAAAGTTCCATGCTAATCAGTATACAGTACACAAAATTAAAAATATTGTCACTTTTATTAGTTAAGCAACAACTTTTTTCAGAGCTTCTTATAGATTGCGGAAAAAAAGTCAAATTTCGAGGGATTTCGCAGATTTACTGAATTTCCCGGCTCTGCGACCGTGCGAAATGCCAAAAGCGCTGTTTTTCGGAAATATAGAATGCCAGTTTGGTTCATGGGCCATTATTTTAAGAGTTATTCATTTATAAATGTGACTGGCTAGAAACGGCATGTGACCGAACTAAAATGAATTTGGCTGGTCATCGTGTCCACAGACTACTCCAGAAATCATTTTGAGCCCTGGGTGTGATCATAAACCTTATTTTGGATTCTTTTCCCTGTCTGTGTGCTTGAAGTGGTTTTAAAACCCATAAGGCAGAGAACTTGGAGAGAGGGGAGTAAAATGAGCATGGTCGCCCTTAGGTTTGTCATTCTAATGGACACTGTTCAGGGTTTGCAAATTTTATTGATGAGTGAAGTCAATTGACTTCTGCTTCACAAATTTTGGAGTCATTTTGGAGTCAAGTATCATAACAAAAAAAGCCATTTTCAGACTTTCCAGCACGTGGTCCTGGCATGTAGACACTATCGTGAGGGATACACAAAGTAGCTGTGGCGGTCCGCTGACCTGGAAAGCTCAAATCTATGATGGCGGTCATCGAGTAAACTTTGATCGTAATTTACCCTCTTCCTGTTTTGTGGTGCAAAATAATTCTTTAATTTTGATGATTTGATTAACGTTTACAACTTTTACAATTAGCATAAATTGTATTTGTTGCGAAAAAGGTAAGAACAAAACTGTGTTTGTTATCGAAAATTTCTGGAGTTGAAGTGGCTCCCTGTTTGTTACCGAAAATTTCTGGAGTCGAAGTAACTCCCTCTGTAACCTCTGTGGAGTCATCTGAACAATTTTGGCGTAAAATACGCCAAATTTGGCGTATTTGCAAACCCTGCTGTTACAAGTTACTGACGTGAAATAAGGACCTTTCCCTTTTTTTATCTTAATTTACCTTACAGGAGATAAATTGGAGAACTAATAATAAACCCAACTCCTGTTACTGGTACATTTCCAAAAACACTGAGGCAGAGGACCAACATACATTATCTTGAACAGAAATGCACCAACAAAATGAAAATGCTTACGCAGTGTATAGGTCTCCCATGATGGTGAATAAGATAACACAAAGGGCAACAGTGGACAAATGATATCCTGTGCCAATCAGACTGGTGAATAACAGACGGTGTGATGCTGGTCTGAATACATCCCCATGAACTTGCTTCCAGCCATATTCATCACCAAGATCCCTTTCCTAAAGATCACACACCTTAATCATTATATATTAGACTAACAAAACAGTTACATATACAACAGTTCATAAGTGTACAAGTGTTAATTTACACTCTCCAGGAGTATTAAAGAGCCTTATGATAAAGGTTAATTTTCTTTGACTTACCATGTAGATGAACCCTAAGCAAAAAAGTTTTAAAAGCAATCACAACAAAATACAAGTGAACCAGCTTTCATTTCAATGGTCACAATGGATGATTTTGCTTGAGCACCTCAACACACAAGACCAATATATAGGATTATATTGGTTGTTGCTTTTTGAATGAACAATAATAAGTAATGTCTAAGTTGGTTATCAAAAGAATTGTTTCTGATCTGCAGGACATAAATTTTATCAACCCCAGCTGTATGAGAATGTCACCTATTAAGGACAAATAACAGCCCCTGAAAATAGGTTAACAACTTATGTAACATGCACATGTACAGGTGAATTAAGGGAAGAAGACTTTATTCATATTTTACCATGTCATCAAGTTCATCATCTTTGCTGTATCTTGCATAATCCTTTCTTAAAGTTCTCATAAGAATCATAGAGACAAGACCAACCAGAAAGATAACCATCATGAAAGAATTAAAGATAGAAAACCAGTGTATCTGAAAACAATAAAAAATAATGTCATATCAAACTTTTGCCTGCTTTTACCTTTGAATGACAATTGTACATGAGCAAGATTATTATTGCAGCACCCCAAATTTTATACCAACATTTTATTCTTTACTTACTTTAAATTACAACCTTGCCCACTATATGTGCATTGAATGCCTGATGATAACCATGAACATGCTTGTATCACAGATCTTACCCTGTGTTGAAAGAAGCTTGGATCAAGATACTTGTCATATCTTCTTGCAAATTCCACTCTCATTTCTGTCCATTTAACCTGGAACAGAACAAAAGAGAATGTACAGGGTTATCCCATTTTGTCTCAACAAATTCATCACCAATCGTAGAAGTCCTTATAACAATTTATTGTACATAATACCAATAAAAGAGACTGTTTTACCTCATATGTGAAGCTGATTTTTGCATTTGGAGACAGCTTTGTTTTGGATTCACTTGTCAAGGTCACATCCACAATCTGATCACCATTGTAACCAATGTCAAGTTTCTTGTGAGTCCAAATATAGTATTCGTCATTACTTTCACCAATTTCCCCAACAATTCCTAGAAGAAATAGCAAAACAACAACATCAGAAAGAATTCAGCCTGCTCACACTGTACTAGCAAATGTGCTACAGTATGATGTCCATTTGACACTCAATGCAACGCTCAACAAGAAATAAACCAAGGGCCATATGCAAGGAACTTAAGTCAGACATTCATGTAGAACTAAGCTAGCATCAAACATAATATTTTTGGCAATTACGATTGCTATTCTAATCTTAGACATTGCCACTTATGTCTGATGGAAATTTTTTGGAACTACCAGCTTGTCCTTACAGCCTGCTTCTCCAGTTACAGACTGTATGTGCATACATGTACATGTGCCAGATATTTAAAGACAGCCTCTTGATTTGAAAAGGAATTCTTATTGCTTGTGACAGTGTTTTTAATGTTTATTTACCAAAAAAAAAGAAATAAACAAAGATGCTCAAGAAAACGAAAAACTTACCCCATATGGGCAAATCATCTGAAATAAAAATACAAAGCGACAACAGTGAGAAAAGGTCATAAAAACTTTAATAGTGTACACACAACATGTAGTCTTTGGATACTTAACAATAACAATATCATTTCACTCCAAACATTAGTAAATTTGTGATGCTGTAGACAAAGTCCTATGGTAAAGTCCTCGGCAAACACAGCATTTCAAGCACCAGTCTATCCAATCTTTTTAATTGTCGCATGTCTATGTGTTTTTAGTGTGCTACTTTCTGTGTATTGATTTTCTTGGTAGCTATTCTTTTTTACAAAACTCTGTTTAAAATAGCTTCATTACATGCTAAACCAGATGTTCCTGTATAAATAAATAGAAGAAATGAATAAATAATGTGTCTCATTTCATTTGGTACATTTATGTACTTCAGGTAAATGATAAGAGGCACAGATACTAACTTGATAACATACACGTCAGAAGAAATTTAGAACTGCTCGTACCTATGTACATTTGATACCAATAATGATTCTTGACCGCATAAAGCAAGGCATCATGTTTATCCTGGTCAAGATCCAATGTGCAGTACCCAACAGGTGGAACATTTACTGAAAAGAAGGCGTTCTATTAGTGTGCTTTTTGAAACAACACTGGTTCAAAAGAAAACAGACACCAAGAACTCTTCCATAAGCCGACACCACTGGGACTAAAAAAAGTGTGTCCGTCTAGAAGAAGTGTCCTGTGAAAAGGGGTTTAAATAAAAAAGCAGAGTCTGTTTGTAGCAGGGGCCATAACAGAGTCTGCTTACAAGTGGTGTATATTACAGGGCTCTCATTAAGAGACAGGGGCCAGGGATTTCCCCCCGCTACTACGAACGTGACCTCCAACTACTGTCAAAGGAAAATAGAAGAAACTACAACCAAACGAAACCCTTAGCTGTTCAACTCCCTGCATATTTGTTGTATTTTCCCAGTGATTTAAAATCTTAGTGATAACACCGTTATTAGCACAGGTGCAACTGTGTGTATACCTTTAAAAGCAATGTCAATGCCACTGAAATCAAGTTCAACTCCTTGAATGGCTTCTCCAAGTGTTTCATGGTAATGGCCTATCTCCTTCTTTGTGCCCCTACAAAAAGGCAATGAGTAGTATGTGTACGTTTCTTGTCTGTTGTGGTAAGGTCCTACCGTGTTCATCCATAGCACAACTTCTTCACCATCTTTATACTGCAATAGAGACAAAGTACATTCACCAAGTGTTCACTGGAGTGATGGAATAGAGTACTAAAGTGATGACGTCATAAAAATGACATTTCTGAAATTATGGGATTTGCCAGTATATTCTGAAAGAACAATGTCCAAGAGGCCTTCTTGCCAAAAATGAGCATTTTGTGGCAAATTGTCTCTGAGATTGTAACCTAGTTATGCGTAGAAAACTCCATGCAAACCCTTCTAAATTTCTCATTTTTGGCAAATAGGCCTCTTGGACATTGTTCTTTCAGAATATCCTGACAAACCCCATAATTTCAGAAATTTCATTTTTACGACGTCACACTTTAGTACCCTATTGTCTTTCCATTAAAGATTATAAAGTACAGTGTATAATAATAATTTATCACATGAGAGACACACAACACGAATTATCTAATCATGTAAGAAAGGTTACAAAGATACTAAAATAATTATTTATTTATACACTGGATTAAAAAAGCATTGGCAAGTAAAAAGCTTAGCTGTACAAGACAGTGACCTCAAGCAATGAGAACATTGACATCTCCAACCAAACAAATTTAAGAATTAAGTCAATCTTTTTTTTTCCTCCAGTGCTCTGACTCAACACTGAATCCACCATGAAATTGTGTAATTTTTATTTTCAGTGGACAAAAATCTTGTACTAGAATAATTTAAAATATATTACATTCCTTTTTACATTTTTCGAGACCTAATCATGTAATAATTTATCTGTAATAACACTTAAGAAAATTTCTTATGGGAGCCCAAGAAAATGAATGTCAAATTTCACAAAATTACATCTTTCACATCAAAATTTCCGAGTTTTACCTGTGTTTTCACAATTCTTGTGAAATTTGACATTCATTTTCTTGGACTCCCATGAGAAATTTTACTTGGTGTTATTACTGATGACTAATTACATCTTTAGGCCTTAAAAAATGTGAAAAGAATGCAATATTCTTTAAATTATTCTGGTAGAAGGTTTTCATCCACTGAGAATTAAAATTACTCAATTTTCTGCTGGATTCCATCTTAAAACAAAAGTTTTCAAACTTGTTGTGTTAAGTAGAATTTTTCCATCAAATGGACACCGTGGACATTCTCATTGCTTAAACTTGCTACATGAACATGTACATGTCCTTGAGATGTGTCCCATCGATAATAGACATTTTGCAAGGATGTCAAACAGGGAGGCATACACCCTAAGAAAGTGCCTTTACAAGCTGTAAAGCATCATTATTATCTCCTCAGCTAGAACATTGATTAAAATACTGCTTTGCTGGCAATGTTGTCAAGTTGAAAAACAAATCTGAGAAAATGATAATGTGCCAGCGTGCAAAGAAAGTAGTGTCTGATAGCCCAGGGCTAGTGGATTTTGCTATTGGGCTAGTAAATTCTGTTATTAACTTGCCCGACCGGCAAGCGAAGTTTTTTGAGGGATTCAAATTACAGAAGAACTGTGAAATCAATCTGCTCATCAAAATGTTTTTGGGGCTAGTTGAAATGATGTCTGGGCTCGTAAATGTTAGCTTCAGCTTAACCTAGGTTGATTCTCAACTTCCTTGGTCTCCTAACCCTAATTCGTGAATAATTTGGGCTAGGGGACGAAGGAAATCAAGAATCAACCACCACGAATAGAACATAACTTTATTGTTTTAGAAAGTCCCAAGTAATCCTAGGTATTAAAATGTGTCAATTGTTTCAGAGTTATTAGTTGGTGATGAGTCGACTTCTTCGTGGCAATTTCATTGGTGGTGAGATGATGTAAACGAGCTCCACAGTATTGCAAACCCAAACAGGGCATCAGTGAAGCATTCTGCATAACTATTTTCCACTCTTTTTGCTCGCAAAATTGTTTGAAACAACCTTGCATGTATCGCAAAATAATTACCAGTGTTAAAGCGGTTCAATACATTAAGCCAAAAAGAATTCAACTAACAGTAAAAGAAAAGATCAAGCCAATAATTATCTTCTAGACCGACCGTAAACAAAAGTATATATTTATAAAATTAAATGGATGTAATTCTGTCTTACCGTTAAATCACCTACAAAATTGTTTCATTAGTTTGAAGAAATAAAACAATGGATAAAATGTTAACCTACTGGTTCAATAAACATAAGGTCGGTCCGCTACAGTACTGGAGGGATCGAATGAGATACAAGCTACGTTTGGTATGTGCTGATGTGTCAATTAATTCATTCAAAAAGATTTTCGATTTGATGTCAAATACATTTTACATACACTGTATAAGGGCATAGTTTAATAGAAAAATATTAATTTCTTGATCTAAACGTCTGTGCCTGAATGACACGGAAATTTACAAAAATAGTAACCGTAAAGTAGCTGAGAGAATCTTTCGTATTATTGACCTACTTTATGCGTGTGTTCGTCTCCTGTGATCGATTCCAGACATAGAATAACCAGCAGAAATAAAGCACAATTAATTCCAGATGCCATATTTGCAAGAAGCAGCTACATAAAGGACAAGATGGTCTCTTGTTTATTGGATTCTAAATACTATCTCTACCGACTTTTGGTAATGGCGGATCCAGAAATACAGCGGCTGCAAATTGGAGGACTGGGCTCCAAACGCCACGTCAATGAAGGAATACATGGGCAGAGAATTCTGGGTAGCTACCAAAAGCTAGCGTCACTAATGGCAATGCTTGCAAGACAAGTAAGACGCGAGGAAGCGTTCAAGCACATGCCACGAATTACCGACAATAAAACCATTTATCGTAGAAGTCAGGCTGCCCTCTTTTATTCGATCAGCCACTCTCGAAGAGGCAGGGTAAACTTAAAACAAATTTGAGTAAAAGAGAAGCAGACTTCAGAAAGCGCCAAATGACATACCAACGTAGAATTCCTTTCTTAGATGCCCTTATTTTTGGGGGCGCCTTCCCCGTCACGCGAATCTAGCGCTTCTCGCTCGCTTCGAACTTGCCTTCGCTCGCCTGAAAAACGCCAAAAAATAACACCTGCTATACAGGCTAGTTTCTCCAAGGACTGTCAGCAATTTGCGCTGGCTTTCTAGCAAAATCCGTGGAAAGATAAACATACAATTCTACATGCCACGATCGCGACGACTTGATGCTGTTTTTTTACAGTGAAATGTATTTAACTCGAACGTCCCCTATGTGCTGGACTGGTTTTTAACATGGGTTCACATAGTTCTCCCTTAGCCAAGCCCCAAGGGATTAAGGTGACAAAAATCATGTTTTGCTAACCTGCGTCGCTGGCGGTTTGTTTAGCGAGAGGGAAAAACGAGTGGTGAAGCTGCGAGAAAAAGAAAACCTTTCTCGTTGCTCTCACGCGCGTGGACAACCAACCAATAATTCCACTTCGCGGGCTACAAATTTCTTTCCTTTCCAAGGGCCCACAGCGTTGCCCCCCCCCCCCCCCCCCCCCCCCCCGCTTTTGTCCGCCCCCCCCCCCCCCCCCCACCCACCACACCCAGTTGACCTAAAACACCCGACCACCCCCTCGATGCAGTCCTGTGCGGGCTCTCGCGGGGGGCGGCTATACGCGGGTGGGGTCAGGCCTATTATTTTGCTAAACGCGGGCGGCGGGGGTTTGGTTAGCGGGAGGGAAAAACGGGGGGGGAAGCTGCGAGAAAAAAAAAACCTTTCTCGTTGCCCTCACGCGCGTGGAAAACCAACCAAAAATTCCACTTCCCGGGCTCAAAATTTTTTTCCTTTCCAAGGGCCCACCGGGTTTCCCCCCCCCCCCCCACCCCAGTAAGGTGTTTTGGCATCACCGCCTCTCGACATCACAAAAATGTAGACTTGTTGACAATAGCCTGCGAGCAAGCTCTTAATGCGACTCTAGGGCTTCCTCGCAGGAGGACGCTATACAGGTGATTGGCAACTCGTTTATTCTGTTCAGAAACTCAGTACTGTTATCTGCTGATAAGCACTAAAAATACAAAACAGTCGCGAAGGTTCTCAAAGTCGGTGAAACACTGGGCGCTGTTTCGTGACGGTTGTCGAAAGCTATTTACTATCTCCCTTTTTCGACGCAAGAGTTACTTATTACTGTGGTCTTTTTATTATGCTAGCTTCTGCTGACAAACTCAAGGGTCCAACTAGTAAAACACGATCCGTGTTTTTTCTTTTCTTGTGTCGCTCACATGCAGTTTGTTTCTTAGCGTCCAATGAAACGTGCATGTCTATTACAAGAGATGCTACTTCAAAGAAAGACGGCTTTTTTTTGGTCTAGCGACAAACATTTGTTTCTCCGATAATTAAGCCAATATTCCAATGAGAACCATGACGGTAATGGTTCCTTCTCTGGTTGCAAGATCTCAGTGATCTCAGCCCAAGCTTGTCAACTCGCATTAGATGTTCTCTGTTGTTTTGTGTCCTTTTGGGGAGTACGACGCAGTCTTGCACAAGTCAAGAGTATCGGAACAATCCGGGCCTGCAGATGTCTTATTCGTCGTCCATATCATCGTTATAAGCCTCATCACTTCCATCGCTCTCATTTCCTTCCATTTCTGTACGTTCACTTTGTGGTTTTTCATCGGTGCTTCTTGCACCTGTTCCTTCCACCGCATTCTGACCTCTTTTCTTGGCGGATTTTTTCTTCTTGGTCCTGTGTTTTTTCTTCTTGGGTTCATCACCTGTTCATTCAACGATATAAAAATCAAAAGTAAACAAAAAAAATCATAAATCAAGCAAACCCCTTTTCTCCTCAGAGCGTCCTTAGTAAGAATTCAGCTTCTACGGGATTCAATCCTTTACTACTACTATCGTACATGCTTAACTTTTTTAAAAACATTTTATGATTGCTGGAAGACACTGGGCACCCGACACAAACTCCGTGATCTTTCGTGAGGGATGGAATTTAGGAAAATGTACGGGAATACCGAAAACAGCAAAGCTTGGCGATTTGAAAGGTTTTACGTTGGACGACGGTTAACTTGAGCGTTATTCGCAGCTCTGCTGATGCAAGTAAAAAGTTTTGCAAAGGAATCAAAATACCTGAAGTGCTGACGGTTCGTTTGTCTTCCTTTCCTTTGCCCTTTTTCTTTTTCTCCTTTAAATGTTGCTCGGATTTTACAGCCAATTCATTATCGATTGCTTCAACCTTTGAGGAGAATGTTTTTCTGCCAACAACAGTGAGGCAAGTCGGTCTACCCGGCACATCGAATCTCGCTACAAGCTTGGCCTCTTCTGCAAACTGTAGGACACAATGACAGGAAGGTTATACGTCATGATGGTACAATGGACGCTTAACATTCTTCTTTCGAACTACGTAGCATCTCTGAAAGAAGGGCAGCGCCAGGTACATGTCCAGAAACTTAAAGGGGCTGTGTGACAAAATCTTTCAAAATTTAAACAGTGATAATTGACAGCAGACAAATTGAAACAAAAACTAGAACCACTGAAAGCAGTAAAAGAAGGTATAAATAATGGAACAAATACAAAATAAGCACGGATGGACAAACTCGGAGAAGATTGAAACTGATTACAATTGGAGTTTTAGAAAACTTGTTAAGCTAACAGTCTAGATCTACATCTACAGCTATACTTGCCAAAGGCTGCCCATCGCGCCAAGAAAACTTAACTGTCATTGAATACAATAAATCGCCTTACAATGGCTAGAATGTAGAGGTTGGGCAAGGAAAATTAAACAGAGTTATTTAACAAATTTTCGCGACACCTTGTTAAAAGATCGATATCCGTATCTTGCCAAGGAGTATCGCAGCTCACCGACCTATCGGTGTATTGTTGTAGCTCTCTCCTGTTAGGAGAGCACTCCCCTATTAGATGAAAACTTATTACCAATCCCAACAGTGTCCCAATAGTGATTTATCCAGTGGATAGTACTATCCACCTTTTGAAAAACTGGAGCCTGGAAGATATAGTGAGAAAATCACGCGCGAGCGGCACGCGAGATGAGACCCAATATCGGGTCATATCGCGTCTTCTTCGCTCGCTCACGCGTTCTTGCTCGATAAGAAGAGAGCGACCTTGCAGCTCTCGGAAGATATAACGAGATTGATTGGGAAAACAATAGCTGTGGTCACACTACAGACTTTTTACCTAAGTAAACTCGACTTGTTGACAGTTTACCTAGGGAAACATGATTTTTTAAGTGTGACCGATTTTTCCCAAGGTAACTTACCTCGGGGGGAATTTTATCGTCTGGGGCTTGGATATGTCTCGAGAACAATAGACTGACCCTTGACAGCTATCCTAGCCTTTTCCAGGCTCCGGGATAGTCGGGCCCGCTGATACTTTTGCGTCTTCCCCACTATCTGAGAGCCTGGAACAGGCTACAGCTATCCAAAGCGATAGCTTGGAAAAAAAGAAATACCGAGGTTGCTAGCCAATAGACGCTCATAGGCGAAGGTCTTGACGACAGAACCGGACATAGCTCACACGGTGAAGGAAATTTTGGGGGCACGAATCGTCTACGTCTACGCCTGTCTTCACCATGCACGTTGAATTAGCGTGAGAAATAACAGCGAGACAAAAGAAAAAAACGTCTCTTTGATCGGCTAGATCCGTGCATCTTGCCTTCTTGAATTTACACTCCAAAAAATTCAACTGAGCGTGAAAACATTCGGAGCCGATATCAGTAGTGTGACCTTCCCAGAATTTTTTACCTAGGTAAAAAAAAAAAAACGAGAAGAATTTACCTCGGGAGATTTTTGATGAACTTGCCCTAGGTAAATCGGTTTTACCTAGGTAAAAGGCCGTAGTGTGACCTTCAGCTAATGAACAAACAAAGACGACAATGGAACCTAGCCCGAAAACAAAAGACCCTGCAACCCATATGGGTCCCGCAAGGCTACTGTATGAAGAGCTTGCTCGCACGCTAAGTTTACTATAGATGCAGTTTCCTCTTACATTTTCAGGATTAAAAGCCCATCCTCTTAAATCTCCATCAGAAGACACCGAAAACATCAACAAGCGCCTGTCTTCTTCATTCAGCAAGTCATCCGTCATACAGAGGCCTTTCACTCTAAAGGGGAGAAGTAAAAACGAAAATTATTCTCTATTATGACATGTAAAAACCAAACAGTCACCGTGCTAAAAATGGTCTATTTTTCTCTCTGACCAGCTAACTGACTCACAGAGATTTTCACCCCTTTATTCGATCGACTGACGGGTTAAGCGACGGTCAGAGTATAGAAACTGCCAACCTCTGATCATTCACTTCTTCACTTTTCCTAAAGGATTAAACAGGTTTATCCACCAAAAGACCTAGTAATATATGTACTTTAAATGATTATGAGAGTATTTGCCCACACATTGTTTACATTTTTGCTCATTAGCACACGATTTGATATCGTCGCTGTATAGACAAAAAATGGTAAATAGCTGGTTAACTTGAACCATTCGTACAATATTCAGGTCTTTCCACGCAATATCTAAGGAAATAAAAGCGATAAAAAACTGCGAAATTCCTGTGTAGCGAAAAAGTGAATGAGCCATACATTCTTTGCAAAATTTTTAGTTTTCAAAGAGATTCTCTCCCAAACAATTAGGGGTATCGGGCTCAAATTTCAAGGTATTACTAACATTTCCGTCTATACTCCTAAACAAGCGGCGATTTTACTTAAATAGCTTTACCGGAGAATAGAGGCATAAAATGTAGACAAAGTTTCACTACACTACAGCTTCCCTACGTTACAGCAGCAGCAGCAGCCCAGAGTCAAAAAAGCCAACCAAGTTGGGTATAATGTTGGATGGCGCGCCAGACGCAAGGGAATTTTGAATAGAGGAGGGAGTGTTTAAAGGTAAAAAAAGTGCATGGTTTGGTGTTGTTACAGTGCAAGGGGTTTAAACTAGAGAGTTGATTAACTATACTTTATTGAATACGAACCCAAGAAGTCTATGGTCGAGTGGTGTGTCCAAAATGGGTAAACGATAATTTTTTTATTGAAATTACTTTGATGAAGTGCTGATAGTTGAGAGGTATGTGGTCCCGTGGTGTTACTACTGCACAGGTAGGGCTATGGGGAATAGGTAAACAATAATTCAGTTTGGTGTTGAATGTGGCCTGGTGTTGTTAAGGATACATAGGTTCACTTTGGGGAATAAGTGAACTAGAACGATGCCTCATTGGATATGGATGAAGTCCTGAAAGGTGACAAAGATATGGTCTGGTGGTGTTACGGATGCACAGTTTCACTATAGGGAATGGGTATTGAATATGAATATGATTGACGTAATGAAAGGTGAGAAGTGTACTGTTCAGTGGTTCTACGGATCCGCCCAACCATCCGGGTGGTGTCGCCAATTTATAGCGCAAGAACAATAGAAAAGGTGTCAGCCAATGAGAAAAGGCATGACATCATCGCTAAAACAGTCAAACAAGAGAGACAAGTTGGCCAGTAATGGCTGTGTGGTTGACGTTATGATGCGAACATAAAATCAAGACGAAAATTCTTGTAACCGCGTGAGCTATTTTGTCGTTACTGACGACGTATGCATGGAAAATAATCACCGAATCTAACCTGGAAACTAAACTGACACATGGAAGCTAAACTGATCCTGAATCTTTACTTGTAAACAAACCAATGCGTCATCGAAAAACAAAATTTGATTCGCTAGTTGTTTTGCTAAACCAGGGAGTAAAACTGCTAAAAGACAAATAAGAACGCTAAAACGCACCACTTGAACGTACGCTACTACATTCAAACTGTTGAAATCATGTTTAGCAAGAACCCACTAAATTTGAATTTTATTGTGTTTTCAGGTTACAAAAAAGCATTGAAAACGAAACAAAGAACTGTAGCAGGTAAACAATCAAAGTGCAAATTGCTGTCACAAGCTTTGCTACAAAAGATACTGAATAAACTTTTGTAAGAAACTAAACATAAAAACACAACACAGTATGACTTTACCAACGAAGAGAAACCTAGCGAACGTTTTGATGACTGTCGAGTGCAAATTGTGCCGCAAGCTTCGCTACAAAGGATACTTCAGAGACTTTTGCGAGAAACAAAAAAAAACACGCCACAGTATGACTTTACCAGCGAAGAGTAACCCGCCAAACGTTTTGATGACTGTGGGTTTTCTTTTTTTTAAGACAGGGTGCGAGTTTCATCGATTCGTGAGTTGATGTAACTTGCGCGTCATTTGAAGACCGAATTTGATTTTTATTTCGATTGTTCTCCTTTGCAAGTAATAACTAATATTAGCTCATACATAACGCAACCAGTGAAACGTCTCCCATTATGTTATGATGTGTCTATTCGGTCAACTGCACATCAGGGAAAAGTCTATACTTACTTACGTCTTCCTTAAAGGGGCTATGTCATCTGTCAAAAGCTGTGGTCTAGTTTATTTTGTTAAATGCAAATTACACGTAGTTTTCGCTATAGAGCTTAAGAAATTACTTGTGAACGACAAAATCACAGCTTCTTGTCCAACAAATATGTCTCGCAAGCATTATTTAAAATGTTACACACACCAAACATGAACTTTGAAAAACTGTTAGGCCAAGAAGTTTTCAAAACCACACACGCAATCCTTTTCAGTCTTCTCTCAGGTTTTTCCCTCCAGTCCTTTTTTTGTGTTTGCCGTGTTATTTATACCTTTTTCTACAGTTTTAAGCGGTTATTTTTATGTTTCCCATGGTCTGAAATGTCATCCCATCCGTCTCTTCGCCTCCCCCCCCCCCCCCCCCCCCCCAACTCAACGGGAGGCAATGCGAGAGAGACTCGCCCGGCGAGGGGTTTGATTGTTCACCTGCTTGCATGTCCTTGCAATGTCTGAACACACTGCTCCTTTTCAATGTCTAAAATTCTTATTCCTTCAAATTCTCCTCCTGTCGCCAGGATATTTTCCTAGGATAACAAAATAATAATTTGAGATTAGTAATCGTGATTGAAACTGAATGCAAGTGACAAACTATCGGATAACGACTTTCAAAGAAAATCACGTACATGTACGTATAGAAAGTATATATATATATACATGCAAATTTCCCAGACTTATCTCCATACGTGTCCTTAAAGAGTTAGTTGAGAGAATTTGATATAAGATTATCCTCTGCCTAGGGTGATCTTTTCATTCATTCTCATAACCTTTCATCTTGATTATGCATTGATATTGTTTGGAGAAAACTGATGTTGGTCACCAGGGTGCAAAGAAAGTCAGTTTTACAGCCTGCCTTTGGGCAAGCTGTAGCTACAGGACTAGCAGCATATTATCACTACAGTCAACTCTCCATCTTTGGTACTAGCACTATGTGTCCGTCTTAGAGAAATGTCCATCTTTAGACAGCAACTGAAGGGATTATAAAAACGCAGGGACCAACTCTGGGTGTCAGTCTTATTGAGGTGTCCGTCTTATAGAGGTGTCTGTTGAAAGGAATATAGAAAGACAGGGACCTACTCTGGGTGACCATCTTAGCAAGGCAGGGTTGGATCTAGGGGGAGGGTACAAGGGGTGCACACCACCCCCCCCTCTGAGATTTTGTTTAAGTCACCAGGTGCCCCCCTCCTGATAAAAATCCTGGATTCACCCCTGTGAGCTGTCTGTTAAAAGAGAGTTGACTGCAGTCTGTTATCATGACGCTCATAATTACTAAAAGTCTCCTACAGCTTGGCAGCTAGAGTATTCAACTGAACTGATATCTTGGAGTCATGGGTTTAACGCCCACTGAGGGGTACTCTTATTGACCATAGGTCTCAACCAATCAGTGCGAGAGAAATCACTCAGTTATTGTAAATTTACTATGTATATACAGAGTATAACAACTCAAGAATGCTTGCTTTCCAATCTTGAACGCATGCATGTGTAGCAGATGTATAAACTTTTAGAAGGATGCTATGGTTGCAGTACTTACTGAAAGGAATTCTAGGGCTAACACGTATCTTGAGAACTCCATTGTAAATGACAAGGCAGCTGTCTAGGACAAATCAAACATTCACCACATTAAATCATGTATAATCCGTAAGTGTCAGCCATCTTCAACTGCAACCCTCTAAGTTTTTCCAAACAGGACTGGATAGGGAGATAGATGAAACATTTGTAGCTGGTTTAAATTTTCTGAAGCCCCCAGAAACTATTAAAAACTTGAAAACTAATATATTATTTTGTATAAGAAATCATTGAAATTAAAGTATTGAAAAGACTACCTTGAAAGTGTTTTTTAAAAGCTTTTGAAAGCTTTTGAAAGTTCCCAGACATGTCCAGGTGGTAAAGGCTATAGCAGTGATGCAAGAAAATGAATTTTAAAAATTCCTGGACCACAAAAGGTTTCTATGAACTGAAGTTCCATAAAACTGTTAAGACCTTGCTGGTGTTCTTAGTTCACTTCACTCAATTACAAAAACCCAATTACACTGTTTAGAGTTTTGAGTGTGTGGACAAAATCCACTTGTACAATTCATATGAAGCTCTTAGGGTGCTTTTCATTTGTCAGATCTGAGCGACCAACTCATTCCTTTCATGATCAGAATTTCACCTTTAATCAAAACTATCCAGCCAGATCAGTCAAATACTTAATAGTACGCAGGAAGGAGATGGTTTTTCAGCAAAAACTAGTCCAGCCATGGTCCAGCCAGCCAGTTATAACTTTTGGAAAATGCCCCTACGCAGGATTTATCAGGGTAATCTTTGCAACTGATAATTTAACAAGATGAAATTTGATTGGAAATACTCTACACTCTTTTTAATACTTACTGCAAGTTTATAAACTACGACTTTGTTGCCAATGGCGACAGCATAACTATCACCTGATGGAGACCACTTGACAATCAGGGCAGCTAAACACACACAAACAAGAGTTAGGATTAGCAAGATTCACAAGACCAAAGTCTCCTGCCTATTTTATATGCCATCCTTGTTAAAGGCACTAGTGACAATCGGCAATAACTTGCAAACATAATGATCTGACCTCAAGAGAATGCCTGTAAAGAGACCCACAAGCCCCTAGGATGTGATTAGGACACCCCCGCATATCACTGATGAGAGAGACAGCTGGCCAGCACTGTCTTTAGTTTAACTTAGCCTAAATTTCACTTAGCCACATTTGAAAAATATCATGTTTCTTTACTTATTGAATTCTAAAAATAATGATCCAGTTTTGTTATTTAAGACTACATGTATATTAAGGCAATGAAATTGTTTCCTGTCATTTATTGCCACAGATGACAAGAATGGACAGGGACTAAAACTTGAAAAAGTTGGACCAACGTTTTCAAGTTGTAATGCTATACATGTATGTGCCAAAATGACAAAAAAAAAATAGTTAGTTTAATGTTCCCTGATAAAATTTGTTTGATATCTTTGCCACAACTCTTCAGGAGCATTTTGTGTATGGGTAAAGGTACTGAGTAATGACTTCAGCACGTAATTGACCTATAAAACAGCAATACTCTTGTGACATACATATAACCCCTTTGAGTAATATATTCTTATAAGACCATCAGTCTTGAACAAATGTTTCATGAACCAAATTGTTGCAAATAAAAGTGAAGTTTTGTGGCATTAACAAAGTTTGTTGGGGTGCATGAACTGCTGTGTACCTGGCATTAATTTTTTCAATCTAAAATTAGGAATATACTCTTACCTTCTTTGATGTTTGTAACATATGCAGATTTGCCAGTAACAAGATTCCATGTTCTGTGAAAGCAAACAATAATAAGAGATCCCAAGTAAACATTATTTATTGAGTACGGCACAACTTTCAAAACCTGAAAAAACAAAACAAAACAAAAAAATGAAAGAAAAGAAAAGGAAAAAACTGCCACTCCAGTAAACAACTTCCAGAGTGCTTAACTGCCAGACAATTAATGTTATTTCAGTGTGGACAACTAAAAAAGTGGTCAAAACACATGCAAAGATAAAATAAAACAAAACATTCCTCAGAGATTCTATAGAGTTAGGTTCCAATAGGCCACTTGAGGAGACTAACCTTAAAGTCTTGTCCTTTGATACAGACAATGCAAGTCGCCCCGAGGGATGCACAGACACTGAATTAACATGGCCCCTGGATACAGAAAAAATGCCTATAATTTAATATCAGGAACTGCTCACACTTGGTGTCTGAGCACTAGTGTGATAGTGCTGTGAAGTCTGATATATAACAGTGTTAATTTTTTTCTCCATTTTGCGTGTCAGACACCATTTTGAAATGTGAGCACAGCAGGAAGATAGGAGCAATGGATGATTGCCTTGGAAACAGGCTTTTAGCCAGACATTGAAAACTGGCTGTCCAGAGGGCATGTTTTCCCCTAAATTATAAGAGATTAAGTGAATTTTCCTTGTATTTCTTTCAACAATGGGTGTCCATAGGATGGCTAGACACCAATCTGGCTAAAACCTTGTTTGGAATAACCGGAAATGTGTGAGCACAGGTAGCCAGTGCCCACTTTAGGACCTGAATACAAGACGTCTTTACCTTCAAGCACGAACACCATACCCAAGTTTGGCATGGGTACTTGAAAAACATTGTGTGTCAAATTAGTGCCCAGCTAGTACTATGCTCAGGCACTGTGCCCAGGCACCAACTGAGAACTCTACCTGAGTTACAAAGAAAGGGAAGGAGTCATGCCTATATAAACAGAATTACCTATATGTACACTTACAGTACCTCAATGTATTCACAAAAAATTATGTTCAAGTTACCTACATGTACTTTTGGAGTTTAAAAATTCATGTACAGACACAGTACAGGGCTGAGATGTCATAGCATTTAATGTCAATCCTCCTTTTAAAGAAAATTACATAACTACACCCTTGCAACCTGCCATGCATGCCTGTGAACACAAGAATTCTGTATTCTTCTGTATTATTTCCCCAACCCTGTATACCTTGTGATCCATGATCAGCATCAAATTTCTCCCAATCAATCCAATACTTAATCAATCAGACAGGTCATCAAATAATTGAGAACAAGACAAGACAAGGTGAACTGTACTGACATCTTAATTAACAACTAATGATGCTTACATAAATCTACGTGGTTAATGGAAAAGAAAGATCAGCTTTAATTGAAATTAACACCAGTCTAAGACAACAATAATCTCTACAGCAAAGATGATCACATTACCTGTGGCCTTTTAAAGTTTTGAGGCAGTCCCATGTACGACACTCCCAAACACAAATGGTATTATCCTCGCTGGCACTTACCATGTGTGTATTGTTATGGAATGTCAAACATGTTATTGAGCCTGAAAAATAAACAAGAGAAGAGAAGAGATGTGTGTGTCACAAAAAATCAAATTAATTTTTGGTAAAATTATGGGACGGGTTGGCGTATTCAGAGAGAACAAGGTGATAAGATTAATGTCCACTTGCTAAAAATCAGCTTGTTAAAGCCAATTGGTGAGGAGATATACGCAGGTTATGCTCGGATAACTCTATACATATGTCCTAAAATTGACTTGGATTGTAACGTTTTCTAACCAGGTCTTTTTCAGAAGGATTTATGTATGGAGTCATCAAAGCAGAACGATTCTTTTGCATCTCCTCACCAGTTTGCACACACAGGCTGATTTTTAGCCACTGGACATTTTGGATCTTGTTATCCCTGAATATGCCAACCAGATATTATACGTTTCTGGGAAACTGCCCACCTACCCCTCCCCTAATCCAACATTTTGCCCTAAGCGAGAAGTAAGTGTTAATGTTGGCTTATGGGAGGGGTTTTAGGTGGGCAGTTTCCCAGAAACATATAAATGACCGTGCCAACCAATCCCATATAATTTTTCACAAATTTAATCTTTGTAATGTCATGTCTCTTCTGTACACACTGTTTCAACCAAATTACACTGTACAAACAAAACTTCTCAGGAGGAATCGCGCTTCACTAACTACCATTTTAAAAAGTTGTTTTCTTGAATAAGGCCTGTTTTTGATAGAATGTTGCAATCTGTAGTTTGAAGAGTTTAAGGTTTGACTGAAAGACATACACGTAATGTTACAGTATCTACCAATACCTCCCCTACATGAGATCATCACCTGTAGCTACCATAATGTTTAGAAGGGAGTTGACTGATCCTTAAGAGAAGATTATTGTTTGTGCATATTCACAGACTTGTCAACCCACAAAAGGCAAATATATCTGTAAGATTGTGAACTAAGCGCTCAGACAAGTAGTGAGAATGGGTAAAAAGTCGCTAGATGTCCCAAATTTCTAAGTGGAAAGACCTTCAAGGGGACTATGAGCCATTACGGGTATTAGAAGCTGGAGCAGTAAACATCACGATATTTCAGTTTAGGTTTTGTACTTGTAATTTCTAAGTTTTGTTGGAGGCTGTCTTAATTGAAACAAGAGAAACAGTAAGTCTACACATTTGGTTGCAGTGGCAAGTTGCTGTAGGCGAAAAGAATGTACATGTTACCAAACTCGACTGCCAAGCATATAATTATTCTTTGGATTGAGCTTGCTATCTATTGCTATCTATTAAACTGGAAATGGGCCAGACAGCTCCAACATTTTTTTTGGAGTTTGACTTTTTGAGACAAGCATGAGAAATCAGTTGCTAACTCATGAGAGCATGAGATTGGTCGAGAAATCGTGAGACTGACAACAAATTCATGGGAGTTGGCAAGTCTGTATTCATAAATACCTTCATGCTGCATCAGGGCACCCAGTTCTCTGTGATCCTTTAGATTGTATAACCTAAAAATTATTAACCATTAATCCTAAGTCAGGTGATGACAACTTCTTGTGAATGCCTCCCAGTAGAAAGAAAGTGGTGTCACATTGAAACAGTTTGATATGTTTCCTGCATGCTTTTTTCCCCAAATGGTTTTTATTGGACAACATTGCCAGCACTTTGAAATGCAACAGGAAATGTTTTTTTAATTCATTCCATTATTTCAAAATGCATTTGGAATAAAAACCAGCTCAACACAGTTTCTACTAAGCTGGTTGTCCCAAATACTGTAAGGTCATAGATTGATGACACTTAAGGACAAAATTACTATGCCAATTAAAGACGTACTAAAGTCATAGATGCGGCTGTGTCAAATACCTACATTTGTATAAGACACAGGTTAAGAACTAATTAAAGAAACAATTACATTTTCAAGCATACAAAAATCCTCTTTTAAATCTTTTCTCTTAGTTCTTCCAGAATAATTTCTTACAGCTAGTGCAAGAACTATAGCTAGTAAAGAATTCCCTGGACGTACCACTAATTGAAGCTAAGAGTTGCCCAGTAAATAGGATCATAAAAATGAAGTTACTGAAAGCAATGTTCAATCTAGAAATTAGTCAAAGTGGGTCATATATCCCACTTTGAAAAAAAAATTGGGTCATTTCAAAAATGGTCTGGGACAAACTTTGATATTGAAACTTTGAATAACTATCATCCAAACTATCACCAGGGTATAATAAAGTTTTTAAGCTTGAAGCTGTTGGCTCTTGAAGTTCTGGAGGTTGAACTGACTTCTCCAGCCTTACCATCCTTATCCATTGATGCAAATATGCGGCCTAGATTGAACACTGTGAAAAATTTAAAAGATACAGCCAATGCAGTCTTTATGTAAGGTGCCATGAATTTTGTGATGACTATAGAGTAACTGAGACCAAAAACGGTGCAAGATTACATGCAAAAAGTATGGTAATTTAGGTCCCAAGGGTGATCATCATCAATTTTCTCCTAACAACATTAGCAGAGCGTGACGAGTAACAGTATAAAAGTTATGAGAATTACTAAATTGATTACCTAAGGAGAGAATGCATTGATCTTAGACCAAATTCTCTCAACTGTTCTTAAAAGAAATGTAAGGAGATCAGTCAGGAGAATTTGGATGTGGATCTTAGGGCTTAAAGGGTTAAGAGTATTTTGAGAAAGTCAAACATAAAATCATGACCATTTTAAATAGATAAATGAAGATAGTTAATGGGCCCACTGATTAGATCTTATTGTAGTTGATTTCTGCAATTACTACAAGAATATCTTGCAGCAAGTGCAAAAACTATCTGCTAGAAATTCCTGCAAGCAACAGGAGAAAGTCAAACATAAGGTATCTTCTTAACAATAATGAGCATGTACATCATTTCTCCAGTTACTACAAGAATTCCTGGCGGGGAGTGCAAAAACTACCCGCGGAAAATTCCTGCAAGTAACTTGAGCAGCTTCAGACGAGTATAAGCTTCAGTATAGTCAAACATAAGGCATCTTCTTAACAATAATGAGCATGTACATCATTTCTCCAGTTACTACAAGAATTCCTGGCGGGGAGTGCAAAAACTACCCGCGGGAAATTCCTGCAAGTAACTTGAGCAGCTTCAGTATAAGTAAATGTAAATTACACTGCAACAAACACATGTCTGAGATTTACACACCTTCTAACAAAGATGTACATTCTAACAAATAATGCAGAATATGAGAGCAATGTCACATATAATATTATTGTCAAGTAACTACAGGATTTACAAGTAAACCTGTGGGTGGAGCTACCCTCTACTGAGTTCTTACAATGTCCTTGTAAAGACAGACTTGCAACTTCACATTTTCAAGTTTTTAAGTGTACTTAAGAGCAAACCTTATTGTGATCAAGGGCAATCTGGGTTTTAAGTTTGTTTGCGCAGCGTAGATACTATGCTGTAGTGTAGGCCACTACATTAATAGTTAAAAACAAGTTGTTTATAAAGTGAAGTGTAACAAAAGTTATATCGACACACATAAACTATAATAAAAGCTATAATGGGACATGTAACTGTGGGCAACAAGAGGAGCCTGCAATCCTAATCTCCAGCGCCGAGTTGTTCAAAGCTGGGTTAAGATAACCCAGGGTTAGTGCGAGATTTGAATTCAGATATGAAGCCTTAAGAAGCATTTTAGCTTTACATGTAATTCTCTTTGTGCACAAGTTGATGATTGGAAGCTATAAAAATAACAGAGAAAATTATCCAAGAAAATGCTTTTGAACACAAGAAAAAGAAACCTCCGTTAAATTTAACCTCATGTTAAGCGCTAATCTTCCTTCGAACAACTGGGCCCAGGTTACTATTACGCATGTACAAGTACTGCACGTATGTAGCCAGCTTCGTTTGGACTTCCACTAAGAATGAATGAAATGCATAGAACCCAATCTGATCACCAGTGCTCTGTGCCTCGTAAGCTGCATGAAATCACACATACTTTGGTCATCTACCACATGAAACTTAAGCAAAGCACAGCACCGGAGCAGAAGCATATTTGACCTTCGATCATTATCGCCTGCACTCCATAACCTTCAGTTATTACTGGTAATATTTATTTGTGCACGTATAGTGATCCAAAAGGAAAATGGAAAGAAGGCAAAATATAATGAAAAGAAAGATCTGATAGAAACTAAAAATAATGACTAAACTCTTCACTTTAAAACATAATAATACTATTATCATCATCTTTGATATCACCTTTAAGTACACATAATACAACAACTGGGGCAAGGTTCTTATTTGTGGGTTTCTATTGTGTTCACTGTACAAAGAAAGAAAGTGAAGAGGTAAGAAAGAAGGAAATGTAAGCAAATGATCCTCACTTTAAAAATGCTGTCCTTAGCGTTGTTATACATTAAGCATGTACTTCTGTGCCCAGTGGATAGTACACTGGTTTCCCCATTACATGGATTTACATGTATCCACTCGATAGTGATTTACCTGGTGGATAGCTCTATCCAACATTTTCTTGTTACTTGTTCAAAAGCTGGATAGCTCTATCCACCAGATAAATCACTAATCAGTGGATGAATATTAGGGAAACCAATTCGCTTATCCAGTAGATAGCAGTGTTCTCATCAGGCCACAGCCTTGCAGGATTCCCACAAGAAGATCTGAGATGGCGCATAAAAAGCCAAGAAGATGAACCCATTAGGGCACAGGGGCATGCTAGGAGTCAAGTTATGAGTTAGTAGTTTTAATGGTCAACTAACACCCCAGCATTTTGCTTGGTCAAATGAATAAAAAACATGATATCAAAAGATTCAAAGTCTTTAATTTTACTTCCTTAACTTTCATTGGTCCCACATACATTTGGAAGATTGGTGAATGCATCGTTATTGAATCATACATACCCCGACTACCATATTGGATCAGGTAGGTATTTCAATAGCAGATCATTTGGAGTAATTTTGTCTCCCTAATGTTCTTGTCCCCCTAATATTCTCTGTTTCTCAACAGAGGGGGCACTGGGACTCCCCAAGGCAAAATCCTAGTGAGAACACTGGGATAGCACTATCCACCCTTTGATAAACTGGGACCAGCTGCAGATCTATTATTTTTTAAATTTAGATTGATATCTGTTACAGGGAGTACTTCCTCTGGGGCAGTGGAGGAGGCAGTTTATTGGTTTCCTTAATACATATCCACTAGACAGTGGTTTATATGATGGATAGCACTATAATTATTATAAGCCCACCAACAGTCATTTTCTTCTGGCTATCAGCAATTCCCCCTCCCCAGCACTTGTAAGCCCCTTCCAAGCCATTGGCCCATCTGCGTGTAACTTAAAGAGCGTTTTCACATGACGTCACGGCGGCCATATTGGTGTTCCAAAACAATGAAACAGCGGCCATGTTGGTGTTCCAAACAAATCCTGTGAGAGTTGGACCCTTTTCTTATGTAACAAATTTCTTTTGTTCCCATAAATTTGCATAGACGCTGGCCACGTGAGTGGATACGCTCCTTAGAACTTTTCATGTTAAGATTAGGCTTATGTTCCAGTTACAGAGTCTTGGCAAGATTTCCGCATGGTCTCAAACATTCATAATGCAAACATTTTTCGACTCACTTCTTTTAGGGCTGTGAGAAAATCTTACCGTAAAGTCTTACAAAAAAATCACTTGCCGTATCGTTTCATCCGAACTCCCTGTAGCAAGAACTGCCCCGTTGTTAGCTGCACATTTGATACAACCCGTATGCTCCTTCTCAGCGAATTTTGGTTTCAACCTGTACTGCTTGGGAAAAAGCAAAAGGAATCAAATTGTTTCACTCATAAGCCCTCATTATGTTATGTTAAGTATGTGCATGTTACCTCAAGCTCGTCATCCGCAGTAAGTATATCAAATCCAACAAGAACTTGCTCGTATGTTCCAACAACCACCTCCATGATCATAGACACTCGATGACGATGCCGAGATTGTCGCCGGGATAGCCGAGAGACGACGAGAGCCCGATGACCAAGAGGAAAAGAACACTGCATGTTTCTGTCATGAAGTGTAGCATGTCCGTCACGATGACGGACATGCATCAACAACTTCGCATCAACAACTGCGTAAACAGGACAAAACTGTTACCCATTCTTGAAATCTTTCATTCTCTATTCTTGGTTGCTTCGGCTTGAATGTACATCAATAGTCATCTCAAAATCACTATATTATAATTATTTTAGTGACAATTACAGTTGTAAAGCTTACCGAGATAAACTTTAGCTCTCAATACTCATTAATTCGAGTTATGACTGATGATTATAATTCGACTATATGACGATATTAACGATTGTCAATCGTGTAATTAACAATCTCTCTCTGTTCGAGGGGAGGGATTTGCTATGCGTTCAATCTGAATGAGATAAAATTGATGTTTTTGATACATTATACATCGTAAGCGCAATATGTAATGTCAAGGATAAGCCATTTAAAAGAATGCGGAAATGGCCTTTTACAGTAAGGATATAAATTATATTAAGCTGTGACTGCTGTTGAATTAATGAAGGCTTCTATTTCTAAAGATGCTGTACATGTGGTGATTCATCAGAGGGAAAGTTAAAAACTGGTTTTATTTAATCAATCACGCTGTTAAAATAAATTTTCCGCAGTATTGAGATTCAAAAGCTTACGTGCAAATTTACTTTCTCACAAGAGAGTCGGTGCGACCGTTGAGCCTGTATGAGAAATAAAATACTGACGAGAGGTCTGCAAACGCTAAATATCATTAGTTTTATTTTTTTTCTATAAAATAAATAAAGGACTCTTACCTTTGATGTATTCAACTGTTCTTGGAGTGAATTCCTCGGTTTAGTCGGTTTTTGTTTTCAACTAAATCGTTAAATTCACACCAAAATCACAGGGTACATCAAAGGCAAGTCTCCCAGTTTTATAGAAAAAAATAAAAATAAAACTAATGACCTCAGTATGTTATTTCTATACACAGTCTTGCAACGCCACACCGATTTTCTTTGAGCTTGGGACTCCTGTGGGGCATTCAATTGGAATATCAGGTCTGAAAACGGGTGTGGAAAGTCTGAAAAAGGGTCAAAAAAAAAAAAAAAAAAAAAATTCCCGGGAATACTCCCCGAGGCAAAAAGAATTCCACATTCAAACCAAACCTGATACAAATTGAACTAACAAAGAAAGAACACTTCCTTTTTTTCTGCTCGTATTTGCCGCAGTTTAACTCAACAACTGTAATAATTGTAATGTTTTCAAATGTCGATAAGTTCCATTAGTCCCGGGATCATAAAGGACCAGTTCATGATATCCCGTGAGGTCGATGTGTTACTCAAACACTGGCCCTGTGAGCAGATCGAGGCTTTTTGTTTAGAATTTGGTACCTCAGTCCATATCGCCAAAAAGTAGCCAGTCTTTTGGCAGGCTAAATGAAGGTGGCCTCGTTATCGTCCTTTACACGTCACAATTTTTTGTACTTTTAAGTCAGAATTCTACTGAAATGATTCAATTAACCGCTTTTTTGAAATTTTCCATTCAGTGGTTCCATGGGGTACATGTAATGAAAACTTGAATCGCCTAAGCTCGACTTGGTAATTCAGTCTTACGTAAAAAGTACGCATGATATCTCCGAAGGCTTGTCAACAGGGGCAAAAAACCGCTGACTCTGCCGAGTCATTTTCTAATCACCTGTCTACGTTATTATTCCCTGGTAAACGAGGGTAAAAACCAGATCCATAGTCCTAGTATCTAAATCTTTATTTAGTAAATATGAATTTTAGGAAAACCCTTTTTTATTTCGCACAAAAAGTGGGGTGGAGGCGGGGGGCAAGGCCCCCTGGCCCCACCCCCTCCGCTGGCACTGTTTATTCACAATTATTTAACAATTTACAAGCCATGAATTTCATTATCATTTGCTGAAAAATTTCAAATTAAAAAATCAGCCTTATCAATTATGACCCCAGCGAACTCTATCTATCTCTTGTAAAGAATCGCTAACCAAAGTCCCTATAACACAGCCTATAAAATCTCTAAAAATATGTACAATTCATATAGCCGACTAAAGAGCCTTACATTTGCACTTGTATAAGAAAACTGCCTATCTTTCAAAACCTGGACGGGCCATCCCCGGAAAGCCAAGGGGGCATGCAGTTCATTGGGACGAAATACATGCAGGTGATATTGTTGCAAGCCAACGTTTACAAGAGTTTCATAGTTACTGACTTCCAAACCAGCTTCAGAAGAAACTAGATTCCCTACTTTGATTAAAAATTATCGATACAGAGGAATTCAAATATTCCCCTTATTGGCGCATACGTATCAGGTTCTTGAAAACTTTACTTAGGTACTGTGAATTCAGCCATAAATAATTATCCAGATTTTCATAGAAAGACTATTTACATTCAAGGGAACTTTATTACACAACTGCAGGATGCGTACTGCAGCGTATGGAAAAATTTAGACTCTTGAACATGTGCAGTCTTGAGGAGAACAAGGTCGCGCGCCACTGGCTCCTAAGATTGAGGTGGAAGAAGTGCCCAGTCTGTCAGTGTTCGGCGACAGGAGGCTAAGAGAGTTCATTGGTGGGCTGTAGGAACCTGATATTAAAGTACATGGTTGTTCCGCCATGTCGCACTCTGTGCACATTGGGTAGCAGCCGCCAAGCAGCGAGTGACGCATATGCGGTAAGCTGTTGATTTTTTGATGGCGACGCCATTTAGCACGGCGATTGGAGAACCACACCTGAAAATTGAAGAAAGGTTTTATTTGTTAGATTAAGCCACGTGCAAACGGACGTAATAACTCCCAACATTGTTGGCACGACAATTTTTGGAGTTGTTGCGTCAGTTTGCACGTAACACGCAATAACATGCAACAGGGGGTACAAACGGACGCAACATGTAACATCCAACAATGCTGGGAGCTGTTGGCCAACAATGTTGCGTCCGTTTGCACGGGGCTTTAATTATCACAAGTCAAGCTGCATTTTCTATAAAAGTGTGTATAATGGGGGCAGACTGGAAAGAGGTGAGGAGTAATTGGGTGTGGCAGACGCATTCAGCAATTTAGCCATTTGGTTTTATACAAAGAACTCTGTCTTAACTGGCACTTCTAAAGACAAATAAAGAAGTAGAGTTGGTTCATGCCGCTTCTTTTTCAGTGTAAAGTGCACACAATCGTAAGACTGACTCTGTACTGTATATTTGGCACTTAGGCCCGGTTTATATGGAGAAAACTTGTCTCGGGCAGTAGGGTCCTACCCGAGCTACCCTGGGCGTACCAACATTTCATACATTTCCTTTAAAAACTTGGCGAACTGTTTACTGAGAAACAAAAAGTTTGGTCGGCTAAAAGGGTCACTCCTTTTCAGTGGCAGGGTCACCCTCCTAGCTGGGCCGGATAATCGCATGTTTCTGGGAAACTGCCCACCTACCCCTCCCCTAAGCTAACATTTTGCTCTAAGTGAGAAGTAAGGGTTAATGTTGGCCCAGGGGAGGGTTAGATGGGCAGTTTCCCAGAAACGTATAATAATTTATCTATATAAACACTTCGGCTCACCCAGCCAGGTCAACTCGATCAAGGTGAGACAACCAGAGCGTGCGCAAGCGCTGTTGTCATATCTTGGCTCGGGCAAATGGGTCAGCTTTTTCCTCATATAACCGCTCGCGAAGGTAAACTCGACTGTGAGGGTGATCCTCTCTCCCTGGTTACTTTCCTCCATATGAACAGGGCCTAAGTATCCTGTGCCAGGCGTTCAGATCGTGAGGATGGCGCAAAGAGATGTGAGCAGAAAAAATAGCGAGTTTATGATAGTCTTAAATAGACTATGAACAGTCTTTCTTTTTTCTCAGCCCGTCGGACGAAACGCGCAAGAGACGAAAATGAGCACGCGTCTCGCGGTTTCGCCGCTCAACGACGTTCTTGCGCGCGTGCACTTTCCTCACTAAATCTGAAGAAAAGGAGAGAGTGCGCGCAGTCTTGTCTAAAATGGCTTAAACGTCGTGAGAAATGGAACGAACCGAAGAAATCCTTAATACGTGCGAAAGTGGTAAGGGGGGAACACCTAAGCGTTTAAAATCCAATATGTAATGTATGTTTTACGATTGTAAATTCAAAATTTTCTTTTTTTTTTCCTACCTGTACTCGAGCTTCAGACATATCAATTTTGTTGGCAAGCTCCTCTCTCGTGGCTACATCCGGGTAATGAGATTTCCCAAATTCTTTTTCCAGCATCTCCAGTTGCTCCGGAGAAAAAGTTGTTCTGTTTCGTCGGATCTTTCTTTTCTGGTTTCCTTGGGAATCATTTTCATCCTTGCCACTTTCGCTTCCACTGTTATACCCAGTATTTTCGGAAATGCTATTGAAAAGTTTCTTGTCGGTGTCGGTGGTTTTGTTGTTGCTGTGACTTACGCCACTTTCGTGTATATCGACTTCAAAATCGTTTGTTTCTTCTCTCAGCTCCTCCCTCTCGTTATCACTCGTCAGAAGTAGGTTATCTTCCTTTTCTCTTTTTGTTGTGTCTTTTTTAGTCGTACACTGCCTAAGGGGGTGTACTTCATCAATTTCCTCTTTAAGCCTCACTGAAAAAGAAAACGCAAACAACTCTCAGCTACAGTTGAGTGTCAGTTGTGAAAGGAAGGTCAACTTAGATGAAGAATTTGTTTCTTGGGAGAAGAAGTTGTATTTAAGATAAGAAACGTGATTCATGGGATTAATGACTTCACAGGATCTGTCTCTGTCTCATGAAACGTCTTCGGAAGTACTTTCGAATTTTATACAATATCGTTTTTTTCACTCTTCGAAGTGAAAGGGGTTTATACCCTACATCTTATATCATCACCGTGGCTAACTATACAACTTACTTAAAATGTGACATAGGGTTCTAGTAACTCTAACCTGCCTTTCAGCTTGCTCGACTGGCTGAAAAGGGACTGCAAATAGTCTACATGAAAACATGCCACGCAAAGCTTAGGGGACTGTCCACACTTTGTGCCCGGACACTAGAGCACACCTTGAGTACCCGACTGTATACATAGTTACTCCATTTCGCCATGTCAGAAGCCATGAAACATGAAACATGAGCTTAGATAGTCTGCGAACGGCAGGCGTTTCTCCTCGCTCATCGCCGCTGAGGGACGTTTCACGATTCCTCCTCGCGAAACGTCCCTCAGCGGCGATGAGCGAGGAGAAACGTCTGCCGTTCGCAGGCTAGAGCTTAGAGCGGGTTAAAAGCAGTGAACTGCCCCAGAACTAACAAAAAACCATGTGCATACAGGGACCTAGTGCACACTTTTGTGCAAAAGTATAAGGTCTAGCAAAGGTCTCGGCCTTGATCGAGCACCGCGGCACCGCGCCCGAATTCTAGAGTGGGTGTGCTTTAAATAGAGTGTATTCACATAATAACCCAGCGAGTACAGTACTCGTGCCTTATTTACCTTCATTAAGTTCGTCGTGACTGTTCTCGCTCTCTGTGGATGTAGTAATTGTCAGCTCTGGTGGTCGTTCTATACCTCTCCTCTCATAATCCTGCGTAGGGAACTCTTCCGAATGTTGCACAGGATGGCAGGACCAAGGCATTCCAGGGTCACAGATGGCAGACCAAGGATGGAAGCCATACATACTCGCCAAATGCTGTCTTTCCCGCTCTATCATGGCATACTGAGCAGCTCTCTCTGCGGCCTTGTTTCTAAGGATGCGGTTTATGGAGCTCACGCTAGGCGTGTTTTCACGATCACAGACGCCTTCCTCCACAAGTCGATCACGGATCTCCCACGCAAAAATCGTCGGGTTCTGCTGCTTATATTGCACAATTTTACTCACCACGGGGGGCGTAGCAACCTTAGGTTTGCTTCCTCCGATCGATCCTGGACGTATGGAGCCTGTTTCGTAAAACCTTCCCAAGATTTTACTTACACATCCGTGTGATACCAAAAGGCGTCGGGAAATTTCGCAGGGTCTGACGCCGCATGCCGCAAGCTGGACGATCCGGTGGCGAATGTAATCCGGAAGAGGCCGACCATTCACGAAAGGCCCGCCGAGTTGATTAATTCCTCCATGGCTTTGGAAAAGAAAGGGGGCTGCCGAGGTAAAAAGATGTATGTTAGTAATCCGCTCGTGTTATTCTCCATGGAGTCCCATAAAAAGAATTAATTCTCTATTTTCCAATTCTTCATAATACACTGTGTATGCTCCCAAATTTTGTATAATATGTTTTTTTTTTCAAATACTCCTAGGAGGAGTTTTGCCAACAATATCTCTTGCGTAAAATTTGGTGGCAAACAGCGTGTGTTACGGGGGCTTCGAAACTAGTCTGGTAATAGAAGCAAACCGAAGTGAGTAATGAAAACATCAAGAGCCATAATAGGTCCTATTATGGCTCTTGAAACATGCAATGAAATAAAAATGGGAGCCATTGCCTGGAGATGTTTCTCTTGCCATGTTGTAATATGTCACAGTGTTGGATCCAGGGGAGGGGTACGGGGGGCCCCGGCTCTCCCTTATTTTTAGACCAAACTGAGTGAGACTAGAAGGGCCGAAACAAATTTGTTTGAGACCGGGTCCCCCCTTATCTCAGGGCCTGGATGAACGGGGCCCACCTTATCTGAAGGTTTGGATCCGCCACTGTATCGTGACGGAGAGGTGGCCATTGGAAGCTGATCTGAGGAGAGAACACGAATCAAGGATATATTGGAAGCTGCCCACTAAACGCTTCAGTCTCACTCTTGACTATGAAAGCCGTTTAATTAATTGTGATCATGGATATAGTCAGTAGCTGATTACTATATATTACTTATATTAACTCCACATTAACTGAAAACCAGCTCCCCTCGGTAGTAAAGCAAGCAACGGAGGACAAATTTTCTAAGGAAAATGGTGAAGGCACAAAGAACCAACGAAAAAGCCTTCTCCCTCGGCCGCCATTTTTTCTTTTGTGGTTATGTGCGGCGCCCGCGGAAACAGTGTTTTCGCGAGAAATCGATGGATCCAAAAATAAATTAACAAATAAACTGAAGAGGGTTGACTCAAGGATAGACACACGCACGCACACACATTATTTTCTTTTGTGTCTGAATAATACAATTGTATGAAAGATAATTTAAAAAAATTTTGGACTCAGTTTAATTAAGAACATTCACTTATATTCCTGAGGACTCCATTCAAAAGAGTATTTCAATTCTTTTTTTCTTCCTTGATTTTTAACCTTTTTTCATTCGACTTCTTTTCCAGAGTTTCAAAAATCTTCACTGAATAGTTCCCATTTCGAAAATTGAACGGAAGGTCTTTCCCAAGAAAATCGGTACAGGGGGCGCATTTCTCGATACCCTGCGAGTGAGTAAGCTCTCCCCGGGCCGCGGGGCGCTCTGGCCGCTCGCAGGCTAGTTTTTCGAAAGCCTCGTTAACTTTTCGGGCCCGAAATTAAATATTCAATTCAAAATCTGAGGAATAAAAGCGCAGGTCCTCGCTATTTAATAACAAGCCAGTCCATACCAGGAGCCCATACTGATAATCTGGAAAGGCAGGAACAGGGATCGTAGCGAGAACTGGAAACGAGGTCGACAGAGTACTACTTTTTGGCGGCAAAGTAAACGCGTGCGCTCCTCGCGGAGGGGCAGAACTTCACACTTCGGTCATGTTGGCTCTTGAAGATTGGCCCTTATGTCTTTTTTACTGTTATTTGACTGGCTTTCGACATTCGACTAACGCTCTCTATTCTATTCGATTGCATTAAGAGCGGAGTGGAAAGGACAGGAGCGGTTTGTGTTTATTTTATGCTCAGCTTATAAACTACAAGAAAGCGACGAGCAAGTCGAACAAGAGTAATGGGCGAGAAACTGAAGGTTTGAGCCCTTTACGAAAAGCCTATGTTTGCAGTCTTATAACTTCAAATTATTTTGCGAAATTGGTTTACTAAATGTTTCTTTCGCTTTTATTCTAGGGGTTCCTTTCCATAACAAAGTAACGTAGAAGATGCAACGATATACTGACAGCGGCAATTCAACGCATAAATTTGCGAAACGGCTGACTGAGATCCGATGTCTGTTGCATGAGCAAACAATGGTAAGTTCGAGCTGTAAGCTTAAAAATGATCACTAATTCTTCTCTTGATATTGCATTACGTTACTCCTGTTCCTTTTACAAATATTTGGTTGATATTTAGACTTTCACAGACAGAAAATTGAAGCTTGACGGCTCAGGTATCAAAGACAACTTCTGTCATGTTTTCTCACTTACGCGAAAATGTTCAGAGATCGTGTTTCTGACCTCCCGTGGAAAATCGTTTGTCACGTAACACACGATCGCTTTGTTGATATCCAGTTTCGGTTTAATATTAGTTAAATTTTCCGCAATTTCGAATGATAAGTGTTTAAACTCCATCCTCATTTCTTCGCTTCCAGTCTGTCTACATTGAAATTTTAGACATGGACAATCTACAAAACAATTCATCCTTGATGTCAAGTTACACATTCACAGTACAAATTGCCATGACGCGTACTGTCCTATTAAACTGTCCAATTAAGGCTGAAATCAGGGCAGTTGAGAGCCAATCAGATTTGACAATTTTGTTATAGTTATGATTAACTCGAAAACAGTTGGGTAGAAGTTCGTGAATTGTGCTGTATCTTAATCCCCCGAAATTTGGGATGCTTTTATTTTCGGACAAAAATAAGCCCGTGCAAAATGTTTACTATCCTAAATTTTCACTTTTGAAAATTTTGTAGAGCATATTAATCAATTTAAAAAAATGCGAGTTTGTAATAAATTAACTTTGTACGAAAAGGTCAAGCCGTCATTACATGGCTTATAATAACAGGGGCGTAGCCATGATTTTTCCAAAGGTACGCACAATTTTCCAAAACAGTCGCCACCCCCATATACATCCAGCTTGCCGCTGGGCTTTTCCCCTCATTTTCTCTAAATATATCAGTCCACGAAGGAATCACGCGTCGCTTCGTGGAAACCGACATTCAGGTGTAAAAAAGAAAGAGCTCATTGTTTCCGAATTGTTACAGGTAGCTACGCCCCTTAATAATACAGTGGCCTCGACAAGAACCTAAAAAGCAAAACTGTCCGGGGCAGTGAAAAAAGAAGAATTACGACGTAGCAATTAACGTAAACATAGCCCGTTCAGAGGAAGGGCCTTTTTCCCTTCTCGCCCCACCAACTTTTCGCGTGCCTTTTACTTTCGCGTCTTCCCCACTATTTGAGAGCCTGGAACAGGCTACCGTAAACTTCAAAAGGATCAAGAGAAATGCACAGAAACATTAGTTTTGACGTCTGGACAATATTATGATATTTTAGGTTTCACATTTTCAGTTAATTTGGGTTGTTAACAGCCTAATCAAGGCTGGGCAATGCATTATTGTCTCCACATTTATAACATCCTGTCTAATCTTAAATCTTTTAAGTCTTTTAAATTTGGGGGTATAACTGGTTTCCTCCTTTACCGGTCTTCTCAAATTTCGGCATATCCTTGCTCCCAGCCCCACCCTTCAGCTAGGCTAAGTCAATTACCCTAATGGGCTACTGCCCTAACCACTAGCTACCTCTATGACCGACTTGTAAGTGGAGAAAATTACCCAAAATTGGGTGAACGTATCGGCTTTATCGAGGTCTCGTTCCCTCCAATCGATAGCTCTGTTCTAAGGCCGCGGTAAGTAACCATATTCTGGTTGACTCTACCCCAAATATGCAGCAAATTTGCCTAAAATTTAGCTACGGGACTAGGCTTTTTTGTCTTTAAAGAACAACATTACATAATAAATAAAAGAGGAAAATAAAAAAGAAAAAGAAATTCTTTACTTAAAAAAGGGAATCGTGAGATAAGCCTGTAGTTTTTAGTTATCATCGGCCAAAAATTTGATTAAAAAACTATAGATTACTAATGAGCGATGCAATCTATATTTAAACCGATATTTGTATTAAAGAGGCTCATTACAAATGAGATATGTGGGTGTTTGAATTGAGAGTCATTTCCGAGCGAGGCATCAAAAAACTTCATCGTTGGCTACAGACGAAAAATACGAATATTTGTTATAAAAAGCGGTTTGTTCGGTACAATTTTTTTCCAGGGCTATTGCAATTTGTTGTGAATGTGCGTAAATTCTTGTGCCAGTACTGTTTATAGAGGACGATCAAAACATCAAAAACAATTATGTGTAAATTTGGTCGCCAGTAATTGTGGTATATGCTGAAAAGATTTCTTTTGTATCTTTAGCGAGTACACCAAATTTTAAATATTAATTCGCGGTGAAGAATCCCTTTGCCCTGCATGTGCCAAACCAATTAGGATGGGAGCCCAACGAGTTATCAAAAAAGTTATTTCTCTAAAGTGCTATATAGTAAGTAAACATTGGAAATTAACCGAAATGAACATGAAAACATTTAAGTCAGGATATAAGCATTAGAGTTATGTCCTTTCCTTGGCAAGTTTAGGCTTTCGGATCCAAGGTTTGTTAAAGCATGTCTTGATTTGCTGCTGTGGCTACAAATTGCTCTAATATCTGTTGTTAAGTGGTGGATACTAGAAAAAAAAATACGAGTGAGTACCAACCACTGCCTTTTCGCTGTCTTAATTGCTTGCGTTCTTCTTACTTTATTACTTTTGCAGTTTTATTTAATCTTCAAGCGTCCAGCTAAATTGCCATTTTCTCTCCTAAAATGCTGCGTTAATTAATTTTCCAACAATTAAAGGAGCTATTAATCATTCTTGATAACGCGAGGTCAATTGATGGTACAAACGAGAAATCTAAACGAATTAGAAGAAAAGAAATATAGTTTTTAGCCACGCGAGACACAAAGATTAAAAAATAAGACTTTTCACATCGAGCTCAAGTTCAAATGGCGTTTCAAAGAAAATAATTGACTTTTTATATTCCTAGTAAGGGACTCTAAATGACCATAACAGGTCTTCGACGAGAAAATGCCTAAGGTTAACGTTACGAAAGAAGACGTCCAACACGGGACCGAACTTGAATTTAAATATAAAGGTTAGTTTATCGTATACGTGCAACGCATTTTTTGTTTTTCACCTAACTCTTCAAAAATCATGTTCCCTCAAAATGCAATTTCCCATTGGATGCGAGACAAAAAAATTTGGTGCACTCTATGTAGCAATTCGTGCCAATAAAAATGTGCAAAATCAGACTCACCTATGCATGACAGTACAGTTAATTCTATGTTGTATTGACATCGGAAAGCAGGTTTGGCGCTTAGTTTACATGAAATTGTCCTTTTCGGTTGGCCCTGTAATTGCTTGGAAACGCTGTTTTCAGAAAGTACCCATTGATATAAAATTGAAAGATTTAAACAAAATGCATTTTTTTAAATGTGTACACGCATTGAAAAGAGAGAATGTCTGTATTGAAAAGGCGTGACGCAATAGATTTTGAGACTGAAGGCGCTTTTCGTAAGCGGGTAGTGCAAAAATCTTCAGCAAATATAGATGCTAAGTCTTCTTTGAAAAAAAAAAATGTGTTAGAATTTGAAAGAGTCAGTTTCTTATTACCTGTATGTGTGCGGATATTATGTTGAAAATACAATGCTCAAGTTTTGAGACCACGCTGAGGATAACAAAAGTCGAAGTAGCCGAGTTTATACAATAAACGGGTATCAGAAAAGTGAAAGTTAAAAGCGTAACGCCGGCATACACAAGTTTGCTTTACTGCGATCCCAACTGAGATACAATGCCTCAAAGTATGAGATGGTTTTAACCGAACCTGCAAGAACTCTGTGTCCCTTGGAAAGTTGACTTTTTAGTGAGATCTAAGACATCGGTTGATTTTCCATTTTAAGTGTTTCATTCTGGTTGACTAACTTACAAATTAAACAACAGTTTCGGACGAAAAATCCAAGCTAGATTTACCGCTCGAAACACTACCTCAAAACGATACAGAAAAATTGATGGAAACTGGCTTCGGAGTGCACCATGATAACAAACTGTACTTACCGAGGTGAGACATCTTCTCCGAGGTCGAGGGCTTCGTAAAATCGTCTTTGGCTTTTGACTTCCGAAACTTGAAGCTGTAGTATAACCTAAAACAGTTGGGTGTTTTGAGGGATTAGCACTTATGTGTTTAAAACAACTTGCGTTGCACGATCTGAAGTTTTCATACCTTGCGGTTAAAGGTTTCAGCAGCAATTATCTTGCGGTCAAGTTTTCAGTTGCGTATGTGACTTGATGCTTGCTCGCTTCGAATGATCACCCTTGAATGACTGTTAAAATTCTCTTGTTCACTCAGAATTTATACCTATTTAAATCTTTTTAAAACCAAATTAAATCAGCAGCATTTTCTTCTCTCAGCACCACAGCTGTGTGTTTATATTATTTATAGAGTCACATTGCCAAATCAAGACTGAGCAATGGGGCTGAAGAAGAGAGAGAATACAACGAATCGTAGGTGAACCACAACGCTCTTCTTTGTGGGAACTTTCACATGGGATTCTAGCATGCAGTTGCCATCTGTCGTTTATGGCTAATAGAATACTAAATAGTCAACAGATGGTGGTTAAATTGTTCAACCCACGTGAGGCTCAAGGTAGGCTTGCCTTAATCTAATTACCCCTCCCGTACCAATTTTTGATACACCCCTAAATTTCACACCCCTCTCGTTCTGCCGGTTCTTCTATCTTCTTCGTAAAGACAGTGAGCTGTTTGAGGCAATCTTTGTCACAGCTTGCTGCTCAGGTGATTGTTGTCAGCGTTCCTAACGCGCGACGTGTGATTTGGCTCTCAGCACTTGAGCGAAATGTACCATTTTCTGGATGATGTATTGAACATAAACAGCACCTTTCCTCCTTTATTGTTGGCACAAAGGGTTTGGGCGTTTTATGTAATTTTCTATATAAACTTTTCCTTTATGGGGAAAATTTTATCATCTGCTGCAGATTCTAAATTTCCACGCCAGATGAAAAAGCAAAATATGAAAAAACAGAGCTAGGCAAATGTTACTCTTTTTGTCCAAGACAGGCCATCCCCTTAATTTATTATGCAAGGGACACAAGAAAGACATGTTTTGTGAATGCGAACAAGAGAAAATGCATACTTCGTCTCAATGATGTGAGCATAGAATTACAGTTTGATGTACCGACTCAAAGCAATGTAATTAATTTCATGGAAGTGCGAATACGACCTTTCAAATCCCCTTAACACTCGTTACATTGTAATGAAAGGCTACGCCAAATGTTAACTCAATTCTGTTTGTGCAGTTCAAATTGGATACAGAGTAAAGCTCGACTCTTCCAGTCAAAATATTGCCATGCTCTTAGTTGTACATTTGTTCAACAGTACTTTGAAAGACGAATCCGTGTTCAAATAGAAATAATCCCATCCAAGAAAAGAAAAGAAATATTGTTTAATTTTTTTCCACAAAAGGATTTTTCCAACAAGATAAAGGAGAATATGGTTGTTTTCTGAAAATATATATAACAATGATAACAAACGGGCTGCTATCTTATCTCTATCGATTTGAGAAAAATGTTTAAAATCAGTAATTTTACAGGTACTGAAACACGGTGTCTTTGTATCTTTTCCACTAGGAATAATAATTGCACCATCGTTGGAGGTCCTCATTAAAATGCCAAAATGGTCATTCAAGTTCCAAAAATTAATTTTGTTACGGTGCAAATTGGATTGTTTGCTTTACAGACCGCAGCGAAATCTCAAAATTGCAGTCAATCTTAAAATTCTTAAAAGTCCTTTGTTGAACTCCTTGCCACTATGGCAAATTATCTGATTGATACATAATAAAAAGTAATTAACTACTGTTAATCTATTTATTTAGTGACAATCCCTTCTCAACACAGCACGTATCCATAAAACAAAATTACCAATGCATTCAGTTCAACTCGGAATTAAAACCTTCCTAGTGATTGACCTCTGATTTCATTCGCATTGGTAAAAGTCAATCTCAGTTCTTACCGTCCGGAAATTACTCCATTTTAAAATGTTCTTCCGCCTAACGCAATATTTGTAATGTGGACAAACTGACGATGAATTGAAGTGTAATTTTCACTAAGACATTGTGAAAACATCCCTGTTCTCAAGAAATTAAAAACGGCAGAATTTTTCATTAATCTGCAATAGCCTCATTCACAAATGCCAAAGATTTGCTTAATGTGAATTGTATCGCATTTCCAGTGTACTATGCGGCTTACGACAAGCCGCTTCATTTCCTCTAAGCGGACATTAGAGAGACCGATTTGTTAGTTTTGTTTTCGCGCTGCGTTTGCCTTAATCGACGTTTACTTGTTTAAACATCACCTTTTCCAATTTTCGGTTTCCTTTTCTGTTAAATAAGTTTCACAAACTGCGTAAACAGATGCCCCTTATCATTTTTATCACTTCCCCTTTCCTCTTACGCAATTTGATAGAGAAATCTAGCACTGTTATCTTCGCTGTTTTTGGTAGGTAATTTACGGACTGACACATAAAGCGCGAATTAACCCAAAACTCGCGTTGCATTTGCGCATGCGCGTCTCATTGAATGTTTTTTGGGTTGAAGTGTAAGAAGCAGCCTTCGAAAAGTATTACTTTAAAAGTGAAAACATCCATTATGTGGCTGGTTAAGTAAGCCGTAGAAGAAGGACATAACAGTGATTTCAAACTGTTTTAAACGAAATATAGGTATATTTTAAGATATCATTATTTGCCCTCGTTAGAAAAGATGCTAAATAAATTGCGTTAACTGTCCTTGTCCTTTACTATTTGGCGGTGAAACTTTTATCATAAAAGTGTAAATGACTAGTAAAACTCGTTAGGTCTTAATTACTTAACACGCGGCGTTTTCATCAGCTAATTTTTTTTATTGTTGTACCGAATGTTGTCAATCAACACGGTCAAAATATCACAAATATATACTTTTTTCTCGTTCTGTTTTAAGTAATTCAAGTAAACATTAGATGTTAAACGATTCTGCAGTTGAGTGACTGAATATTAACCTATGACTGTTTAGGTTTGGAAAATTGATTTTGTTTTCAACGTTGTCGCCATTAAATTCATTGAAGAAAGATATTTGTTTCAGAAACCAATGATGCAGTTTTATCCATGGTTTTACCCATCATAGGTCGGAAATTGAATTCTCAATTTCCATTGCCAAATATCATCTATCATATCGAACAATTTGCATTGATGAGCGAAAAGCGAAATGTAAAGAGCAATTAAGGGTGATTTCTACTTCATTTCCGCCGGGACACTTAATTTCTCAATCTCAGTTGCCTACACGTAGGGCATTAATGAAATCGCAGTTCAAAAATCTGTTGGTATCCCATGGAATTGGTTTTTTTTATATAATCAAGAAAGACGTTCATTTCCTATGAGTGTGCTAGGAAAAAAAGTTAAATCAAATGCCTTGTGTGAAGGCTTTGCATTGTCTCCTCCCACTTCAATAAAACAGTAACAAATTGACACTTGAAATTTACAGTTCAAAGGTAGTCGTTTTTCACTACGAAAAAGTCTTTGGATGTTCGTAAATAGCGTTTTAAAGGGTTGAAAGGTATACCAGCTTGATGTGTTATTTAAGTTTATCTTGCCACCAGTCTGAACGTTATCTACAAAAGAATATTCCTAATTTTATGTTGACGGAAATCGGGTAGCAAAATATTTAGAATTTGTATTGTTCTAAAAGTATGTAGATAAGCTGATGCGATTCACGTACACAAGTTATGAAAGAAATGAATTAATAATCCGGTCTCCGGAGAAAGTGGACCAAATGCAAACTCAGTTTTTTAACTGACGTATCCTTGAGAAATGTAAGGTTGTAAATTCAGTACTGAGAATTACGTTTTGCATATAAAATTGTTAGACATGCAGTATCTTTTACTCTAAAGGAAATCATGAACTTTCATTATGTTATGGCAGAAAACTAGTCAAAATATTCTAAGGTTCAAATTTCAATTTCTTAAATGGAGCCAATGTAAGTTTGAGATGTACTAATCTTTTAAACCGGCGCAGAGTCTTGAACTGAATACGTAGTAACCATATATCTAGTCCACTGAAAAGAAAATGCTTGTGTTCCACTCGCTCAAAAGAAAACTTTGATGTTTTATTTAAAACAAGAATTGAAAAGACTCGTGAAACCTTTTCGTGCTGGGTCAATCCAGGATATTAATGAAACGTTTGTAATTCATTTTCAGAAAAGAATTGTTAATTTCAAACCAGTGGATATCACTGAGTATGTAACACCGCGTCAAGTAATGCATTCAGTTAACTTTGTGAAGCAGACATATTTAGGTGATTCACATTTTCCAGCAAAATTAGAAGAAAAATGTAAAAAAATATTTGTTTGCTAAGAACATCCTACAAAAGTGACAGTCTCGTTCACGAACCGTTTTTTAATCAGCGTGCTTTGATCCCTACCCTACCCAATGCTCTCCTCTGACGAAATGTTTACCAGAATCACAAAATTTATTGAACAGCAACATGGATTTGTTTCGGATAAATTTCTGAACGTCTCCAAAACATTCCACACCTCGTTTATTCAAAAAAGGTTATCCTCGATACAGGCTTTTTTCTCAAGAAATAGCTTTTGCCAAAGATTTTTGTCTGTTTAGAGTTGAAAAAGGATCAGACGTCTCTCAGTTTATCTTGGCCTAAGAAAGAAGGTTATCCGCGCGCACTAATGGATCGCCTGTACACATCGGGAAGTCTAAATCCTAGAAGTCCATTCTTATTTTTTTCATTTTCTTACAGTTCATGAGCCACCACTTCTATGGGAAAAGAATATTGCACAAGCCAGCGTCGATTTACATTTACTTTGAAGAGTAGTTAAAGACAGATAACACTGAGTTTCTTCTTTTGGAAGAGAGTTTCAGCGTCTTCTCAGCCAAATCTCATATATTTAAGCTTCTGTGGTCAAAAATAGGTTTAATTGTAGGGTTGTGTTTCTCTAGTGTTTTCTCCGTCATTTGACTTTATGATATCTACTGTCTAATGTGTTATTTTTCTCTCCTATACAGCGTGCAAAGAAAGTCGTGTCCGATAGCCCGGGACTAGTGGATTTTGCTATAGGGCTAGTGATTTTTGGTCTTAACTTGCCCAAGGGGCAAGTGCTGTTTTTTGGGGACATTCAAATTACAGAAGGATTGTAATCAATCCTGCTAATCAAAAACAGTTTTGGGGCTAGTTGAGATGACTCGTGGGCTAGTACATACTGGCTACAGCTTGCCCGAATGGCAGGCTGTAAAACTGACTTTCTTTGCACCCTGCTATACTTCTCTAAATTTTTGCTTTATTGCATTATGAACTAATATTTTTTGTGAAGCTCGGGCTAGTTAGCTGAAACCATGAAACGGAAGATATAGGTTACAGGGACAACAGGTAGACAGCGAGACTTTAAAAGCAGAATAC